AGTGCAGGGCACAGCCTGCCCTCCCTCCACGGGCTGCAGGTGGGCATCTGCTCCACTGGTGACCTCCATGAGTGCAGGGCACAGCCTGCCCTCTCTCCATGGGCTGCAGGGGGTTCTCTGCTTCGGCACCTGCAGCACCTCCTCTGCTCTTCCTCCTTTCTTCCAATGATCTCAGTGTTTGCTGTGGTGTTTTCCTCACAACTCCTCCACTGAAGGTTCCCCATCTTAAATCCATTATTGTAGAGGCATGGCCACCGTCATTAATTAGCTCAGCTCTGGCCAAAGGTGGCTCCGACTTGGAGCCAGGGGAGTGTCAAGAAGCTTCTCACAGAGGCCACCGCTGTAGCCCTCTGCCCTTCTGCCCTGCTACCAAACCCCCACACTCACACAAACCCAACCCACTCTGTCACCCACCATGAAAAAAGTATGTGGGAAGAAACATGGACATGTTCACATTCTTGGAACAAACCGTTTTCTCCACATGTCCTGGTCTCCCACGTTGTCTCTATGTGGATATTTCAGCACAGACAGCAAAAAGACTGGAGCAGTGGGTGCTCAATGCTCTGAAGAAAACGCTGAGGACACCAGGAGGAGGGCAGGGTTGGCAAGCCTTTATGAACCAGAAAGTCGGTGTGTGGCCAGAACTGAGGTAGAGGCTGTTTTAAACTACTGCAGAGGTTGCTGGGGGACTGTGCATTGGCCTTCCTTTTCTTCATGACCAGTTTGGCTCTTCTAAGGAAGAGTGGAAGTTTCACTGAGCAAATCATGCAGGGGCATTAGATCTGACAGACTTCAGATGCTAATTCTGGTCACCTGCTTTGTCAGCCCTTAGTTGTTTTGAGGGTTTATTTGTTTTTTTTTTTTTTCTGGTAGTACTGCCATGTCCTCTGACCCCATAGCCAGGATTCTGAGTTTGTCCCCAGTCGGTGCCAAAAGATAAAGTCTGAATTATGAAAGTTCTTAGCTCAAAAGGTTGTGTAATCCGAGAAGCAAAAGGAAACTGGTAAGCTCAGAACAAAGAAGTTTCTTAAAAGAAAAGGCATTAATAATGGCAATTTTGTCAAATCAGATATGTCACTTCAAAAAATTTGGTTTAAAATAAATTACTGCTTTGACTTCTTGCTCCAGCTAAAAATGTAAATTAAATAAGTCATGTTTGTTTGAGTTTAATGGATTTTGGTTTATTGTTTTTTTTTTTTTTTTAAATAACCAACTCATGCATTATATTCCTGTCTGTTTGTTAAAATGTCAGGATTTCTAGTGCTTATCTAATTAAATTGACTCAAGTGTCTATATTTGAAAAGGAACCTGTCTCTGGCGGCACATCAGCCAACACCTGCAGCATTATCTGGGTACTGCCCAAATTGCCCTGCCAGCAGCTGGACTCGAGTTCTGCACTGGTAGTACAGCTTTGACGTGGGGGAGCTGAAGCCACCTCTGTTTCTGCTGGGGCCAATCCAACCTGACATAACCATAAAAGCAGTAGCGGTCATTTACACATTGACTAAATTTGCAGTAGCACTGATAATGCTGCATTAAGAGCAAGCTGGTAACAAAACTTTACTGAGAACTCTGGGTGCTGCTGCAACTTATCTGCAAATAAATGAGCAGTGTTTGCAGAGAATAGTGGTTTGATATTGTCATATAAGAAGACAATAATATTAGGTATAGTGTATGATTAGTATAGTGTACTTAATCGTAAGTAAGAATACTTACTTGTAAGTGTAATTTGGTTCAAGCTAGGATCATTGTTTTCAGAAATAACAGTAAAAACCAATATCGCACATTGTTATATGACAGTGGCATGAAATTAGTCTTAATTGTAAAATGCTTTATTCATATGTTTATTTTCAAATGCAGATAGGATATTTTTACAATACCTGTAACCAACAAGCAGCCTAACGAGCTCTCGACTGTTAATTTTCAACATTACAATTGGCAGAAGCAGACATTGATTGGAATTAAATTATATGTACTTCTCTGTTGCTGATTTGTGTGTGTGTGTCTTTATTTTTTTCATTCTTTTAACTCTATTTTAATAAATTTTAAAACACTCTTCTAAGATGGAAATGGTAAAGACTCCTACCTAGAGAACCAGAACGTGAAAGTTTATCGTCTCTGGATATTTCCAGGTGTGTCAGTTTGTATGGTTCTTTTTTATATTTTCTTTTAGAAAGCATAGTAATTCAAATTAAGGGCATAAAGTATCAAAATCAATAAAAGACATCACAGAAATATGGTACTGGTATGGACCTTGCCAGGTTATCTAATCCATTCTTGTATCTGAGGAACGGTCTAATAGTCCTACAATGTACAAACTTATACTTTGTAAATGTACCATATTTATCTTTTTTTCCTGGACTTTCTTTCCCTCTTAAGCTGTAATGGCTGAAATTAGGCACAGTATTCAAAGTCTGACTTCAGTGCTGGTAAATAGAGCAGAATAATTATCTCCTGTGAGGTGCACATAGCACTCTTGAATATCCTTTGCAGAATTAGATTTGTCAGGTTTTGCTCCTTCGCATCACCATGTCAATGTGTGATCCCCAGTTTGTGATTCAGCATAACTATAGATCCCTTTTCGGCAGGATCCTCTCGTGTCTGGCTGGCACATTTCTAGCAAGTCATTAATTAGCAGATTGTAAGATTCACCTACAGTAGGGATCCCACTATGACCAGAGCATCCACAAGTGTGGAAAAAGGAAGATCCCTTAGCAGATTTGCTGGAAAGCATATTTGACCTAGTACTGGATTTTCTCTGGGATACTAGTTACATCAAGCAGAAGTTTCTCTCTTCCTTTCCTCTGTAGTCAAACTCAGTTGCTTACCACTGGCGCTATATTTTTAATGGAATACTTGCTTCTTTTTGACAATCTTTCTTGTAACCCTCTCTTCCTATTGCAACGAAGGCTGTAGAAATTCACTTCTGGGGGGCACTGTATTAAACCAGTCGATGGTAAAACATCAGCTCAATATTCATCAGCAGTCAAGAAGTCTGCTCCAGCATCAGCAATGACTAATAGCAGGCTTGTGGCTGTTGAGGTTGTCTGGAGACACCAACACAGCTTGCTTTGCTACGTCACTGCTCAAATGCTGCCCACAACCCCAATCACCCCATCACAGAAGGGTTTATGAACTAGAAAGGTACAGAAAGAAGCAACTAGGATAAACCTGAGACTTTACAAACAGACATGCAGCCATGGTGTGATCACAGGTGCAGCTGATGCAGCACCTTCTGAGAGTGGTTGATAGTGGAGGCCAAGCGGTGGGTGTGAGAGCAGTCTGTATGGGTTCTTGCCTTATACCTTCCCAGCTGAGTTATGAGATCAGTGAGTAAAAAAAATCTGCTATTTGAGGACAAATTAAATAGTTTCTTTTGCTTAGAAAAGAGATACCTGAATGGGAATATGATACCTAAATGATTCTGTTATTCTAAGTCACTAGTAGTATGGAAAAAGTGCATGGAGAACAGTCATATAAATTTCACATAACAAATGAGATTTCCAATAAACTTCAGGAATCTACATTTAAAGCTGTCTAAATGTAATCCTTTTTTTTTTTTTTTTTGCCTAACACTTAAGTAAACTATACTTACGCTGTTTACTTCCATAACTAGGTTTATGTTTAAGCTTAAGATAACTAGGAGACTCCTTATCAAAGGCTGTTACAGCTGCCCAAAGGATGAAGGGATGAAAGATGTTAGAGATAACAGGATAAACATCTATTGGAGTTTTAAAGTAGAAAAATCTACCCAGAGCTGTTTCTCAGGAAAACTGCTGGGAGGTGAGAGGGTTTTCTGTTCCACCGTGTCACACGTAGCATTCACAAATGAGCCCCTGCCAAAGAAAGCTGAGCCCTAGCTCTGACACGGCACAGCTATTTTTGGGATCCCCATGTCTCAGTTTCTATAACCTCTCCAGTGACTACCAGCCTGTGTATTTTTAAGGACATATTGCACACACGTGCTGTCTGGGTCACAGCTGGAGGAGGTGATCTGTGCTGTTCCCACACAGCTCCCTACAAGCATCTATCAGCTGCTCCAGCTGCGGCTTTGCTATGGCCTTCAAGTAAGGAAGGGGTTGTAACTTTGCTCTCTGAGGAGCAGAACCAGGCTTAAAATATGATACTGAGATTGAGTATCTGTTACCTGGCTTCTTTCTCGTGCCTTGGCACTGATTTTATGCATGCCACTGACAAATGTTGCCCTGTTTTTTACACTGGTAAGGCTTTGCTGGGAGGGGGAGACACCCTACACATTGCTTGGGAGACAGTAAGCAAAAAGATGTTATACCATGGCCCCTTTACTCTTTTACTCGCCCAGGGGTGAGTTCTAGCTGTGCTCCTTAATTTTTTGAGTTTTTAGTTTAGTGATGAAAACTCATATGAAGGTCTACATCAAATGTGTATGAGTCCCTTATGGTGGGATAAATATTGCAATCAGCAAGATCATAATCTGGCCCCTAGCACTGGGCTCCCACTAAAGAACCTTTGGCTTTTATTTCTTTTGTTGTTGTTCAGAAATGTGCTGGGCATTTGTTTTACAAATGGTACATAACCTTCTACACCTGGAGATTAAATTGTTTATATTGACACTACAACTTAGCAACCAGGTTGCAGGCACAGAACTCTGAGCTACTTAGAAGACACTAGCAACACAGGTGGCCAGGCTTAATGCCACTAACAGGGATAGGTTAGCAACCGTTAAGAACAGACAAATACTCACCCTGAGTTGTCCTCCTGTGACTATTGCAACCTGCAGCATGAAAATGCATTAAAAGAAATGGCAGAAAAAGCTGTGGCTATGGCATTGTGGTGTACTCATTTTTACCTGAGAGAGAAACTGAAGCTTTCATCTTCTTCCCTTGATTGCTCACAATCTTGAATTATCTTTTTTCTAATGGAATTTTTCTTCCCTGAAGATTGTGGAGAGGAAAAAAAAATGACGACTGAAAACCTATCTTCCTTTGCTTAGATTTTTAACCTGTTTTTGCTCTGCCTACTCTTCCAGGAGACTACTGTAATGACAGATCCTTCAGTGGTGGATCACCTGACACAACTGAAACTCAAACTCCTAGAAAAGGTAAGGGAGTAATTCTGCACCAGTCACCTTTGCTCTGCTTTTTCCTCTTGCACATTTAAGCATTAATGTTGTATTTTAAATAATTATATTTATGCTGAGGTGCAAAGAAGGTCTGCAGTCAATTGAGAACCCCTTTCGTCGTGCAAGCAGAGGCAGACCACTGTGCAGTGGTGCTATGGTCACTATCACTACCTTAAATAACACTGTAGAAGTTTACATGGACCTACAGTAAATTAAAAATAGAGTTAAAGTGACTTTGATCTTATGGGAGATGTCACCAGTTATCTCAAAACCAGTTTGAGTTGTGACAGGCAAGGTTTAAGAGTAAATTTTGGGTAAAGAGGACCTCGGATTGTTTTAAGGCAATTTCATGTCTTTGTTTTTGTCTACTTTTACATAAGATATGTTGACTGGTGAAACATGGCCAGTCCTTCACTGGAAGTGCATGAGGTGCCACACAGAATCTCAGTGGCTTTTTGTTTTGACTCCACACACTAATGCACCCAGGGTTCTCAACTCAGCCCTGTTCCTCCACCCTCAGCACATCTGATATCTACTTAGTGTGGATCTTCTGCTTCAGTGCCCTCCAGAAGCCACTTAAAGAGTTGTCTGGAAGGAAAAACAGTTTGCCTGGAAACATGAATGCTGGAAGTGCCATCTAACCTGTCTCCACAGTGGAGTCTTTTGTTCTTAGATGCAGCAGCCATCTGAGGGCAAAGCTTTCACTGGTTTGGAGCCATGCAGAACCAAGAAAAAGAGCCTGTGCATGAATGAAAGGTCTCCAATTTCTGAGCATCAGGGAGCAGCAAGGGCCAGTTGCTCCCTAAGGAGCAAGGAGTTGAGCACAACAACACAGCCAGCAGCGTAGGGTCCTGGCCATCCAGCCCCCAAACAAGGCAAGCAGGGTAGAGCCAGAGCTGGTTTCCAGGTTCAACCACAAGTCCAGATCTATCAGGCAAGCTCAGGGTGATAGGGTAGGTCCAAGGCCAACCTGGGAAGCATCTGTGTGTTGGGATCACAGTTAAAAGGTTCCACAGCCAGTCACAGTCATGGCTGTGGTTGAACTGCAGGCTAGTACTCATCCGGTATAGCTCAGGTATGAACTGTAGACCTAGAGCTGAGATTAAAGGAGCTCCTGGGCATGTAAGCAGCAGATGTGGATGGAAGCCCCAGGTGGGGCTAGTCAGGGACTTTTAGGCCTATTAATGCACCAAATACCCCAAACTGTCCATCATCAAGTTCTTCATATGAGCAGGCTCCTCACCCTACAGAATAAATGATGTACAAGATTCCTGATTCACCATGCTATCCATTTCCAAGTCTGGGATAGCCTGATCAGTAGGAAGCACAACTGTTCTTTTACCATAATAAGATTTGTATGAGACATTTCGCACTCCTATGAATGCTTCTTGTATCCCTCACTAGCTGTGATTTAGCAGTTAAGAAGCACTGCTTGTCTACACTTCGGTTCTATTTCCTCCATCCCAAACCAATGCCTGACCTGTTGGAAATCATTGTGATCTTTGCTGCCTGACTCATAACCAGTTCTTGTTGTGGTTCTACCAACAGAGACTAGAAAATGAACAGGAGAACATAGAGAAGATGGAGTCATTTCTCCCGAATGCAAGTAAAGAGAAGCGTTTGTTCTAATTATGGACACAATATGAAAAGTACTTAGTGGTGTTCTCAGGCATGGTCACACCACACGATCACATAGCCTCCCTAAAAGCTGGAAGGGGCCTCTGTTCTCAGTGGTTGGATATTTGGGCAGTCAGGACTTGCTATGTCTTAGCTTCTGTGACAGACACACAGTCTGGAGGGCAAGAAGGAGGCTCTGAACTTTTGTCAGTGGTGCTCCAGCTCAGCCTGCAGATCTAAATCTGTATGCAACCCTGGGAGTAGCAAAAATGCAAGTTCCAGTGAAGCTTGTGCAGTAATGTCAGTCTGTATACTAGCCTCAGTCCTAACTAAGCAGGTGAATATTAGCAGCCTTGATGAGAGGAGAACGGGCTTGCTATACTGCACAGCTATCTAAATTTTACCTTTTGAATTTCTTCAACTGTTTTTCTGATAAAGGGAAATGATCAGCCAGCTGAGCACTAAGAATGACCTCCTGCCCATGTGTCCTCTTCAGCTTCTCAGCTGCAGGTGTTGGTTCAGCTCGAGCAAACTACTGGTGATCCGATTTGTCCTAGCTCCTATACCTAGGAGTGAGCCCCTGTTGCAGTCCAGCTGGATCCTTGGCTTTGGTGATCCTGAAAAGGGGTCGTTGGGATGGCTGTGTGTCCCTGAGGGATCCAGGCAGGAGGAACAATCCACTACTAATGCTGCTTTGCACATTTGAAGCTGACCAACGCAGCCCTGTGCAGGCCAGAACAAGGTTACCAGAATAAAAAAGTGTGACTCAGTTTATGAAACAAATTGTTATACTGAAAGAGTTGGTCTTGAGGACTGTATTGATAAGAGCTGGGAAACCGTTTTATCAGGAAACCGTGCATGTGCAATTGCATCCTGACTTTGGGTTGGGCAGAAAGGTCAGGAATCCCAGCATGCTTGTGAGACATCCAAAGTTTAGGCAATTCGATTTGTTATGAAAGCTAGTGAACCAGCTAAAAGTTGATAAATAAGAGAGTTGAAAATAATTTGTGTCTTTATCAAACCCTTTCAAAGACTGCTGTGATGTTTCACGTACAAGTAGTGTGTTCCCTTCAACAATACTCCAATGGAAGCTACGTGCAATGCGTTAATTTCTTTGCATGACACATGCAGTGTTTATAATTATTATTTGTGGATTAAAGGCTACTAGTAGAAGATCGGTAATATTTCTAGATTGTACTCTAGGATCACATCCATCGAGTTGATGCACAAATACTTGGTAACTCAATGCTGCGGCCAAAAATTAAAAATCCCCTTAACAACTTAGTCTCAAAATACGAAGTAATACTTTTCAGAGCAAATGTCAGGCATGCCTCCAATGTACCTGAAAATGGTCTGTCTTATTTTCATTTTAAACGAGTTCAAAATCAGCTGTATGTGGGAAGAACTGGAAAGGAAGTTGAATCAGAATAAAAAGGAAACAGAAGAGTTGACATTCAAAACTGAGCTTGTATTTATATGTCACAACAAACTTTTTTTTACACTTTGCACATTCGTCCTCTGCATGTACAGAATATATCTAGAACATTTCAAGCTGAAATGAGTTTCTAAGACAGGAGGCTAAAAGGGGGTTTTCGGGAGCAATCTGAACGGTTTATTTTCAGAGAAGGTGCATTGCCTTTGTAGAGCTTCTGAACAGCTGTGCCTGTGTGTGGTACAAAGTCGTTATCCGTTTGTGGATTTGACAAGAAAAGTAGCCTAAAGCCTTTTGTGGAAGGAGTCAAGCTATTTTATAACATGTTTTCCAGCATTAATCTCATAATGTAGGTGCTATAATAGCTCTATCTTTGTGATCCTTTGAGAAGATAATGGACTTTTCTTCTTTCAGGGAACAGACGTGAAGATATGCTCCAAAGTGCCCTAAGGCGAAGGAAAGATCTCCTGCAGGAGCTTAGGGTAAGAGCCCTCTCTGTGGACAGAAGCTACAGAAAGGGCCAGGTTATCTGCACACCCACTGCCAATGTGGATTGAGTTTTTCCCTGTCCTTTAGCTCCTGGGCTGAGCAGTATTCAGTCCTCTGCTGGTTTGGAGGATAGAGGCTGGCCTGGGTAACGAGGGAGAGAGGCCAGAGAGTAGTATGTCTGCCCTCATTACAGCTAACGAAGCTTGCACCCACCTCAGTTAGTTGGTAGGTTGATTCTGTTCATCCTGAATTGCTGTATCGTAAATTTTGTGGGGTAGTGCCAAAATGCAAATAAGGGATTTTTAATGCCACCAAAATAGGGACAATAAGTATAGGAGAATAAGTAACTGGTACTTGTTTGTAGTTTTTGGAGGGTCCCAACCATTAATGAGACATTTTCCCAAACTGTTGTCAGTTTGTTCTTTACTATTTTTTGTGTGTGTGTGTGTGTGTGTGTGTTCCTTTTCGCTTGCACTGAAAACTGTGTGGCTTTGAGATATGTAGGAAGAAAATCAATCTTTATACTTGTGCAGGCACTGGTTGAGTGCTTCTCTTCGTGCAGTAGTCTGCCTGTCAGACACAGCAGTTCTGGGCGTTTCTGCAGCAGTGTTTTGGTGAGGGAGGCTGCACCCTGCTGCAGGCTCCCAGGGCCAAATCCCGTTTAGTGCAGAGAGCAAAACAATACTGTCTGCCCTTTTGTCACCAGGTTTTCTTTATGAAGATGCTTGTTTTTGTAGGAGCAGCACCTTCTGGAAGAGCTTTCTCAGCCCCCTGCACCAGGTGGAGGACAGTGTCATAATCACAGAGCTGCTCTCCCACATGTCTTCCAGATACCTTTTCCAGCTCCCCAGGTGGAGCCACCAAGGATTATCCAGCAGACGGTAAGGATTCCCTCTCCTTGGAAACACTAGTGCTGTGCCAGTCAGAGACAACAACCACAGGTGGAGGGACTTGGGGGCTGTATGGAAACGCTCATCACACTGAAGGGGAAGATAGGCCTCTTGCTGTTGTATGGGACTCCCTGCCCTAGGCAAAATCTGAGGAAAATCATTTTACAAATAAGGCACAGAATTAGCAGTGTGTATGGCTTACCATAGGAACAATGTAGCAAGAGGCTTGGGAGGATTGCCCACACTCTGGCCCAGCCATTCAGCCAGTCTCCAGTGAACATCACTGCTCATATAGCCCAAAACCTCAACAGCTTCTCCACGAGGATCTCATGGGAGACAACGTCCAAAGCCTCACTGAAGTCCAGGCAGACTATACCCACTGCTCTGCCCTCCCAAAGATGAGGCAGCTGGCCAAAACCAACCCTGACTTCTCAATTTTCCTTTCTTTTTCAGATGCCGCCTCAACCTGCCACCATCATCCAGCAGTTACCTCAGCCACCCCCCCTGATCACGCAGATCCCCTCTGCACAGCCTTTTGCAGCCCCGCACTCTGGAAGCATTAAAGAAGGTAATGTACCCTTCATCCAGCAGCCAGGTCCTGTCGCCAGGCCTGGAGAGGGCAGGCGAGGTGCCACGGCACATGGAAGGGGGAACGGGACAGCGTCCGAGCAAGGCAGTGACATGCTGTTTCATAACCAAGCTGCTGGTGGAGCTGTGAGAATTGCACTCCATAAGTGGACTAAATACCATTTCTGACAGGCTTTCAGGAAAATTGTTATGGCTAAAACTAAAGAAAAAGGGACTACAAACTCAGTAAAGCCAGGTTAAGCTGTTGGGGAAGCTTGGGAAAGCAAATCAGCTCAACCCAAGGCACTGAGCAATATTAACAACGTTAAACTCATGCACACAGATGATTCCAAAATTAAAATGCAGGCTTCTAAAACCTGTTTTTATTATTTTGTTCCCTGCTAACCTGCTGTTCGATCTCCTCAGAACAATACAGGCTTTTATTATGCCTCATGTTTGGAAACAAGACAGAACAGCTGAGAGTGCTGTTCCAAATATAGAACAATGGTAACAAAAAGAGATTGTTTCCAAACATAGGTGAATGCTATTGTCAAATAAAACATGAACAAAAACCTGGGATGACTTCCCTGGCTCAACCTTCAGCCAAAGGTTTCTTCATCCCACCGAGAAATCTTCAGTCATGAAATTGCAATATTTCTCAGCTTTTTCTTCATCTGAGTGTCTGGATTTTTTAATCAGAGTTTATTTTCATAAACAAATTAGTCCAAATTAATGCCTGACTTTTCTGAAGCTGATACATGTAAATTATTTCTGGTATGATCAGGGTTTTTTTTTAAAAAAAGAAAGTTGCCTTGATTTTTATATATATATTTTTTTTTTTTTTATTTTCCCCTCCCCCTCCTTCCTTCCCTGCCCAGCCCCCCCCACCGCCAGCAAATTAGTTCTACTGCACAGGTCCTTTGTGATTAGGACCCAGAGATCTTGGTAAGTAGATTTGATGCACATGCAGTGGATTCTCAAGGTGGCACTGCAATATCACATAAAGTTGAGGAAAGTTCTCCCGTGGAAAGCAATGGTCTCAGGCTGAAGCAATGGAGAGCAGTGTAAGGAGCAGGTCCGTGCTGGAGTAAGTAAGAGAGCTCTAGTGCTCGGCCCTTCTCCGGCCTGCCAGGCCGCGTAGCCAGAGGGGTGGGCTTGTAGGGAAACTCACAGACACAAGAGGCTCAACAGCAGCTTTCCTGTAGAAGGGAGGAGAAACAGGAAAGCTGGTATGAGTAGTCTTCATAGACATTAATTTTGCACTGCCTGGGCAAATAATGCTAATATTCTTTACACGTCCCTTTCCGCCGCTTTGTCTCAGTTGCAGTGACCAGGCTGTATGCTGGAGGGCATTTCTCACTGAGATGCCTCTGCCGCCTGTCAGTTGCTGATAAAGCTCTTACTTTCTTCCTTGGGGTGACCTCTTCCCAGATATGGTAGAGATGATGCTGATGCAGAATGCTCAGATGCACCAGATCATCATGCAGAACATGATGCTGAAGGCTCTGCCACCGATGGCGTTCGCACAGCCCGCAGGAGCCAGCTCCTCCCTGCTTCAGCATGCGCAGCAGGTAACGACACTGGTGTCTGAAGGGCATCCTTGCTCACAGGAGGCAGTGGTTAATCTCCTAGGTAGGGTGCAGGGCCTGGACAAAACATGCAGCAGGTCTGGGATGTTTAACAGCTGCGTGCACCTTCAAACTCACTGCACCAGAAGACTGTTAGTGAGCAGAACAAAGCCTGCCTCTTTACCATGATGAGTGCTGTGACAGGACCCAGTGGAAGAATGTCACCTCCACAAGTGGAAACTAGATTCAGCCCAGCTCTGAAAATTATCTGGCCTGTACAGTTGAACCAATAACAGTCTATGCATGGAGACATCTACACTGAGCATCTGCTGATGCAGATCTACTTGCTTCAAAAAGTAGTTCAATATTTGTGCTACAAATCCTGTAATTTGTAAAATTTGACCAGGCAGTTTCAAATGGGCTAGAGTTGAAGCACAGGTTTTGTGATCATACTTGGAGCCCCACCGCTTTAGTTCCTGTCTCACTGAAAATCAATGGCTACTGAGCTCTGAAAGGGCAGATCTTAAAGATATTTTGGTGTGTAGATCCCTATATGGATTTTTCCAAAATGTGTCCAGTGCTTGATAAGAGGTAGGTAATTTCAAATGCATCCTTAGATTCCCAATTCCTAAGCCATTTTTAACAAGGTGACATAGCTCCTTAGAATCCTTAAGTGCCTTGGAAAAATGTATTTCTAGTCTCTACTCTCTAGCATTTATTACCTAAGAAGCAAGGACATTTGATCTCTGGGGAGGAGGGGATGTCCCAGTGCTGCAAAAAATCCCTCTGTACTTTTCCTACCCCTCTGTTTTCAGGCTAACTGTCTTTTTTCCTGTGCTGTAAGAAATATTTGTTTTCTTTTCCTCAGATATTAAGGTTGTTGGGTGCTGAGAAATAACTCCCACATTTATGCAGTCTTTGCCCAGCTCACTTGCACCTTTCGTACATGCTATTTGCAAAAGCAACAAATGGCTTAAGAGGCCCCGGGCCCTGGGCTTAATGGAAGGGTAGGAAACGTAATCCTCCTCCACAGTCCATCCCATGGTCTGGAGGGAGTGGATGGGTTTTTGCATCTGTTGGAACCAAATGTCTGCCCTGGACAGAAATCTTCCGACAGCAGCTGCTAGCTCTCGCGTTTCGGGGCACTGATGGCCCAGGAGGCCACCTGCGGTGCAGAGGGGCCCACTGGCTTCATCAGCCATGGTCCCAGGGCAGGCTGGCTGAGGCAATGGCAGGCAGTGCTGGCTCTTCCTCATGTCAGAGCTGCACTGAGCATTGCCTCATACAGAAGTCCTTTCCTATTTTTGTTAAAGTTTGCAGTTTTGGGTTTAGAATACTCTCTCCCCCTTGCTGTGGCGGAGATGTCTGGGGCAGACGGTGGTGCTGGGAGAGCCAGCGGACTCGTCTGCAGCTTTCTGTGGAGGACCCTGCAACTAAGGGAAGATGGCAGAGGAAGAGCATGTGTCCACCCTGTCCCCACCTCTCTCCCCAGGCCATCCTGTCACTGTGCATTTCTCTGACGTAGACTGGTGGAATAAATTGGGGGGAGTGGGGTCTGAGTGCCTCTGAATGTCAGGTGAATTCTGAAATCACCAAGTATTTGCTGGAGCTTCTATGTTGGAGCCTGCAAACCCCATCTCCAGACGCATGCTGAAGGATTTCCTTTACCAAGTGGTCGCTGTGTGGAAACCCAGCTGTTCAGGGGCACAGGTTTCACCAATTGCCCTTTGTCTCTCCCCAACAAGGACCTGCAGTTTGCTGCTCCCCTGGCTGTGAAAGCAGACAGACCCAGGCCGTCTGCGGTGCACCACCACCACCACTACCCTCCCCCAGGAGTGCTCCCAGTGCCCCACGGGAGCCTCCCGTCCACATCCATGGCACGTCACTGGACCGGCAGCACGCTCCCTGGCCTGCCTTCGTAAGTAAACAGGCAGCCATGACATAAAAACTTTTAGCCCTTCCTTCCTGCACAGATGGAGTATCAAGGTAGACCAGACAAAGACATGCCTTCATGGTTCTTCACTAAGGCCAGTCCTGAATATTGTCTTTAATGCAACAGTGGGATTGAGGCGGGTTAAGTGATGATTTGATACACTCAATTATATAACTTGAGTAATTAATTCTTGCTTACTGCGGAATAGATGAGGATCAGACAAGGACTACAGATGATACCAAGCTGTGTCCCTGCCACACAGAGACACCGCCCAGCAATGCTGTATGCCTCTGCTCTGCAGTGACTGTTACCCTTGGTTTTGGGTCTCCCTGTGAACCCAGCAGATAACTGGTGAATAAGGGCTGCATATGTTTTACGTTCAGGCTAAGGTTCCCAGTAAGATTTATGTTCTTAAAACACCACTAAGACACTTGCTAATCAGAAATTCCTGGAAAATAACTCACCAGCACTCCCTAAGAAAAATTGTACAAAGGTAGGGGAGTAGTCAGAATTAGAGCTGAGCCTTTGCGATAAGCCTGTGGTTGCAGCTGGGGTGCTTTCCAAGCTCAGAAATGGAAGGACTTGTCCCCAGGCTGCCCCCAAGTCTGTAGAGCCCTTAGCAGAGGCCCGCAGCCAGCTCCTCCAGGAGCTCGTTTGCCTGTGCCTCCCCTGCTATCTCCGAGCTTGTCCTGGTCAGCTTTCTAGGTGTGAGCAGATCACAGCTGGGACTAGTGTTCAAACTAGCTTGCTCATGCAAATGCCAGTGCCAGGAGGGGCCTTGGGCATGTATCCGAGCTGAGAGAGAGCGGTGATCTTGCCGAGTACACTAGGAAGGGATAGCAAGAAAGCAGTCATGGAAGCAGTGGTGCTAGAAAGTTCTTACATGCTGAGGCTGGTAAAGAAATGCACGTTGCTAGAGTGTGGTGGGATGGCTGGGGACTTCAGCGTGGGGACTCACTGTTGTGTCAGTGAGAACGCAGCTTTTATTTCTGTACTGTGGCTCTTTCTAAGCCTTAGTGAACAGAAGGACAAGATGGAGGCAGCTGCATCCTCAAGCATGGGTGATGTGCTGGCAGGGATTTCTGTTTGGCCCTCTTCAGCATGGTATTTGAATTCCTGAACAGATTATTTACTTAATGGAATTATAAGGGATAAACATTCTACCCCTTCCACTGTGTACATGGGTTTGTAATCTATACCAATAAAGATCTCTTGGCTCCTTCCAGAATTGGTGCAATTAGCTGTTTGCAGAAATCAGCAAAGATCTTGTTGCGGCTTTTAAACTGTCTTCTTCCTCTTTTTCAGCTACCTTCCACCATGAGTTATGAGATCTGACACATCTACACTGTCGTTTTGCACCTGCAGCAAGCATGCACTGTTGGCTACCAAACACAATAAAGACATTTTTCTTGTTGCAGGTGGCCCACATACTGACAGTACGTGTTCCTCCACAAGTAGCATCGCTGAGGTCAGACTGTATTTGAAGAGTTCCTTAATAATCTGTCTGATCTGTAAGACTGCACACTGTTGGTACAAGAAGTGAGCAGGAGGAAGTCTGCAGATGTTCAGAACAAACTTACCATGCATCTGTAGCCTGCTCACCCATTTCTGCTAGTTCAGTTGTTTCCTCATCCTCCAAGATCAGAACAACCACAAGCAATCACCTCTTTTTTTGTTGTCTCTTCAAAGAATCAAGAAGACCCATCCCAAACTGTTTTGCAGGCCTGGCAGTCCACAGCAGTGCCTAGGCATGAAATAATCTTAATACCAGTGTTATCTCAGCCCTTGCAAATGAGTATGACCCAGCCCCAGGGCTGAGAGTCCTCCTCATATGCAAACTGAGATGTCCCTTGCAAAGGGGCACGATGCTGTCCTTGGGAGGATGATGCAAACTAACCCAGGATGTCTGAATGAGAGTTTTGTTTTCAAACCCCATCAGCCTGAAGTGCTCCTCCCTCAACATTTTTGGTTTTACTCTCTCACAGAGTACTGTCCTACAGTAATTACCTATCCAGGGAAGTAAAGATGAACAGGAACCGTCCAAATGCAACTTGCTGGAAAGCAGAGAAAAGTCCTGGCATTGGATTTTCCTGAAGACCAGCACTCTACCCTGCCTGTGTGAGTTGGCTTTACGCACTATTTGGATAAACAGTTCTCAGTGGAGAAGAACAGAAAGAAATGTGTTCCTGCAGTCACGGGGTCTGAATGTTGAAGTGCAATGCCTACCCCCAGCTAACCACAGACCATGTTTTCTGCCCCAGGAGGGCTCTGACTCTCAGTCTTTCCCAAATTTCACATTTACAAAGCCACCCAGGGTTTTCTTCTCAAAGAGCTATTGGAAAGTGATTTAAGCAGCCTGGAATTGTGTGTATTTTTCATTATTTCTCAAACTTTCCTTCATACAATCAGGGTTTAGACTTGCTTTTTAAAAAAATAATAAAATCCTGAGGCTTTTCCTTCAGTAAATCAACCACTTTTCCCTTCTTTACTTTTCCCACTGATTTTCAGAGGACAAGCTTTAATCCGAGCCCTGGCTATCCTGTTCTTTTTGTTTTTGTTTAGGATGCCTTGGAAGACTCACTCAGGGTTTTAATCAAATGATACTTTTTTATGCTCTCATCAGCCTGGTTGTGTTTAATACAGAAAGAGAAATTAATTAGTAGCACTTTCTCAGTGACTTCCCACCTTCTGTTTTTAAGGTGGAGAACATCTTTACATTGGTTTTGCCTGGTGCGGTTTGTGACTGAATCTGATGAAGATAACCCAGGAACCTAAATTTTGTTTGGAATGGTTAACCAGAAGAAAAGATACTGCGCTGGGCATAGATAGTCCCTGATAGGCAAAGTTTAGTCTAGTTTGCCAAGAACAATTGTTGGTAGCTAAGGAGATAGGTTTGGCAGTGAGAAGCTGATGTGTATCACCTAGGAAGAAAGAAGTTTGTGGCCCGTTTACTGCACCACACAGCACTGCTCACTGACAGGTCGGGTGCTTCCCTGCATGTCCATGCCTCCTGCCTCTGGGGCACATACACAGACTGTGGCTGAGGCTGCTTGTGCAGGAAAGAAGTATTATGAGACTGGCTTTAGTTACACAACTGTATCCTGTGTTATCCACAGGAGTCCCTGAATTAATTGGCCTATCTTAAAGTGCTGCTATCAAATTGGTAAGCCAAGGTGGTGGAGTAATCTGTAAAGCCTACCAGACACATATTCAAATAGTGCTGTGAGTGATATTTCCAAATAATAACTGTCACTGCTGGAAGCTAATGGTGTGCTGTCTGTGCTCTGAAAACAATTAATGAATAATTTATTTACTATGTAAAACTTACCTTGCTCTTTGCCCTCTCTGCTCTGTTTTCTTTGCTGGGTGTGTCAATCAGTGTGGATCAATTCACCTCTGTATAGAAACCCAATAGAAGGTCTTCGGTGGTGACTTGTTTGGACGCAGTGCCAGGGCCCATGGGCACTAGTAGCCTTTAACAACCCCAACCGGCCCCACCTGGAATCCCTGCCCTCCCCAAGGCCAGCAGTCCCACTTAGGCTTGGGCCAGGGGCTGTTTGTGGGTCCCGTTGACATTGGCCTGGGGGTCCTCTCTTTGCATGGTGCTGCAGGTTGGGACCGTGCCACGGCTGCACCAGGAACCAGCACGTGCAGTGGAGAATGGCACTGTGCCTGTGCAGGGATTTCATCTCGCTCCTTTGGGACAAATCTGCTGTTTTGGGCAGTGCATTACAGGTTTAGCAATAAATGGTAGTTAATGTATGTATTTTCACTGCCTGCTGTTTAATTATCATGTGTGGGCTGTGATCGGCTCTTCCCTTTTAAAAGCTTACTGTGTGCACACTGGCTTGGCAAAGCGCTTCCTCCCAAGGCCGGGCATATGAAATGGTGCACGCAGAGATGTCTCCTCACAGCCTCATCCAAATCTTGGGAAGCTGCTGTGGATTAGGCACGGACCCTCTGCCCAGCATCATACCCCAAAACACTCGAGCCACGCACAGCTTCCCTGGGCAAAAGATGTCCTCGCAGATGGGATTAGGCCCCTGGGCAAGCGGTGTGGCTCACATCCCACCCTCCGGAGAGTGCCTGTGAGGCTCCAGGAGTTACTCTGCATCATCCCATGGTGCCTCTGCAGTTGGAACCCAGTGAAGCACGAGCAAAAGCCCAGCAGATGCAAGCTCCCCTCCTGCTCTCTGCACATTTCATCGGGACGTCCTTGAAGGCTGAAAAATTGCCTTACAATTTTCAAGAGGCCTTTTAATAAGCCCTGTCTGAATAACACCACACTCACATCTCTTCACCTAAGGCTCGGTGTGGCTGGCCACACGGCCAGACTGATTCACTGACAGTCTCTGGGCTGGGAGTTAAAGTTTAATATGAACCAGGGGAGAAAAACCCAGGCGTGACTGAGCCGCCCACATCCTTCCCCTTCTCCTCCCCGCTTGGAGAGAGGGCAGTGCAGCAGGGCAGGGAGCGTGGACGCAGCCGTAAGACCTGCAACCCAGGGGCTGCCCCAGCGATGGAGCCCAGTGACCCACAGGGGAAAAGAGTCGCCGTTGTCGGCGGTGGTCTGGTAGGAAACGCAATTTGGCTGCTGTGTGATTGCGTTTGCCAGGGAGCCGGAGCCGTAAAAGCATTGCTTGGATGTGGGGTGAATGTTTTTCTTAAAATCACTCCTCCTTCAGATGACGGGGTGTTACGGAGGAGTTGGTTAAATTCCCACTGTGGGAGGTAGTGAGGCTCGTTTGAGCAGCTAGGCCTTTGTAGGAGGAGAATGGCTCTTTCTTTCCAGGGAAAGCTTTGCTCCGGCGACATCCCAGAGATGCAACGCATGTCTATGGTGGGCACTTGTCTTGAACAGTGTGTGCAAAGAAATCCTGCTGTCAAGAGCCCTTTTCTCAGAGGAAGGGGTTTGGGAGGTGCAGCAATGGTGCCCAGGCACACTAAATAGCATTCCTCCTTCAGGCTGCCAGATCCTCCTGCCCCTCAGCTGTTTCTGGCTTTAACCAAGTCACTAAGACGAAATGATTTGTCAGGATTGAGACCTGGTAAATGCCTTCCTCTGCTCACTTTTGTTTGGGAATGGTTTTCCACCTTTACTACTTGCAGAGTGGTCTGACTCAAAAGGACAACACGGAGCACTGCAGCACGTAAATCTCTCTATTGACTTTTTGGCTGTTAGCTTCTTGGTTCCCACACAGCTGGAAAGAGTGATGACATAAGAGTCTGTAGTTCTGACAGCGATTAACGGTGGAAATTAAACAAGAAAAAGACAGCCATCCATTTAAATAACAAGCAGGACGTATTTGTGCTGTCCTTTTTAAGGTCTTCTGCACAGGTCTAGCTTCCCCTGATGTGTTCCCAAGGGAATGCTGCAGGACCCTGAATTTTATCAAGGAAGATAAATAGTCTGGAAAGGAGCAGGGAGCTTATCCATACCAGCTCCTGTTGCTTCTAGCTGAAGGGGTTAGCCCTGATGCAATTAATCCCTGTGTATAAACAAGCCCTGAACTTGATATGACTTTATACAATGAGTTTTGGTGGATGACTTTTGTCTCAGAGGCTCTTTAGGCACATCAGGGGTGCCAGCAGACTTCCCTCCAGGAAAAAGTCCTCTATAGTTGTTGATCAAAGGGTCTTCCTGTATAAGCTGAGCTGCATCCCCTGACTGCTGCTTTCCCTCAGTGTATCCCAGTAGTGTCCTGTGATACAGTTACTAGTTAAACACTTTATCCACCATTCCTGATCCTTCTCTTGTAGGTGGGTGCATTAAATACCTGTTTCTTTGCTAGACGAGGTTTCCATGTTGATGTTTATGAAACCAGAGAAGGTAAGTTCGGCCTGATGATTACTACTTTATCGTTTATGTCCCTTTACTGATAACTGTTCTTGAAGAAGCAAAACAGGAACTGTGTGAGCTTACTGAAACTGCAGAAAGAAAATGAAATCTGGAAGTGTGCTACTTTGGGGGATATTCTTTTCAATTTTCCCTTTAGTTCCTGTGGTGGGAGGCAGCATTTATTTGAAATATGTTGTCTTGTGTGAAGGGAACCCACCCTTCAGCTACTAAAATGATGCCCTTTTTTATGTTCTTGGCTTAAATATTAATTCAAATCCTCACCTTTTAAAATTGGTCTCTGCGTGAAGAATTATAGCACGGTGCTGTTGAACCAAGCCAAGACAGAAGTTTGGAAGCAATGGCTGTTGTTAATGCTGCAGCATCTCTGTTAGGGTTAAAAGCATCGTCTTGACCTGTAACCACTGCCACTGACGGTGAGGAGGGCTGGTGGTGAGAGGGGCAGAAGGAGAGATGGAGTGCTTTCAGGAAGCCTTCAGCTCTGCAAGGCACCACAGCAGAGAAATGATGATTCAGAGCCCAGGTGCTGGCTGAAAATCACTCACCTTCAGTGTCTATCAGCTGGCAGACAAATAAAACCTGGACAGAGATGGCAAGCCAAGTGGCAGATGAAAATGACACCAAGGAAGGTGAAACTCAACTCGAACGTGCGGTGAAGGGAAGGAGAAGTCCCGTTTGACATGTGGTCTCTGCGGTGACTGTTCCCACCCGGGCAGATGTCAGGAAGGGCAGTTCTGCTGCGCAGAGTCTCGGCTGCACTCATCCCGAGCCCTGCGTGCTGCTCTGGGTTCCCACGGCAGAAACGGGGCTCACAGCAGCCAGCCCCAAGCAATGCCAGCAGGATGCAGGCTCAGAGCAAGAGTAAATGGCTTTTCACTGTGGTTTTGATTGTTAAACCCTTTGCTGGATGTTCTATACATTAGAAGTTTCGCACATTCAAAAAGCCTCTGGTTGCTCTTACCTGCTTTCTGAGTTGGATGGATTTTCCTGCTCTACTCCAGTTTTTGGCCCATTGCTCATGCTGAGATGCCACCCTGAAAGGTATGGGGATGAGGCTCTGCCACACGCGCTGGCCAGACAACCCGGGAAGCCCGAGTGAGGCCATTTGGAGGAGGAGCAGGCCAGTGCTGAGGCAATTACATTTAAACAGTGACAGAGAAGGTGACCTGCCAGTCTCCTGAAAAGCATCAGTCTGTGGGTCTCAGCAGAAGCTGCCAGGCATTCACTGTTCAGCTCTCTCCACTCAGAGGGGAAATGGCTCTCGGTGATAACGTGCCCTCCTGCACCGTGGGGAGCTGTCAGGATCCAGCGCTGCCTTTGCAGCACTTGGCTGCAGCCGCTTCTTCCAGGCTAGGGGAAGCGGCCCTCGAAGCTGCTCAGCTCCCTTCCCAACAGCTGAACGTGCCTTTTGATACCTGCCCTCTCCGCACACAGAGCAGGGGGACAGGGACTCCCCACTGCCCCGCCTGCCGTTGCTGGAGGGATTTTGGGAGATGCCACCCGCACCAGGTTGTGGTATGGGTGTCTCCATAACCGACTGCTCTCTCCACACAGATATCCGGGTGGCCAGCTTGAACCGTGGCAGAAGCATTAACTTGGCCCTGTCCCACAGAGGACGCCAAGCCCTTCGAGCCGTGGGGATGGAAGAGCAGGTACCCCGGCAGTTTCTATCAGTGGTGGGGGTCTCTGTGGTTAAAACACTGTTGACTTCAGCTGGTGATGGACAGACTCTCTTCTGCTCCCCCAGCACACAGGGGCTACCACAGCGGTAGCTCTGCTTTCATGAGGGAGGAGGTAGACCTCTCCCACTGCACACTTGTAGCCTGGCTCCCCACTGCTTCATGGCACAGCCACCAACAGGGATCTCCCCCAGCCTGGGGCAGCACCCAACCCCAGGCATCTGGGCTCTGCTCATGGCAGCGGGTGCTTCCCCAGGAGACCAACACTCAAAAACCACCTTCCAGTATTTACCTCCCCGCTGTGCTCTCCTCCCTCCCGGAGGGAGAGGGCAAACAGGGCGGGAGTAGGTGGACTCCCAAAAGAGCTGGAGTACCAGCAGGATGTGATAAAGGGGGCTGGCCACCCCAAGGACATGTCCAGATTTGTATTTTCTCACAAAACCTTGAGCTTTGGGCTGGCCCCTGAAAATTGTGCAGCCTGACCTCTGCACAGCCGGGCTCAGAGCCCAGCACTCCTCTGCAGGGTGCTCGCTACCACTTAATATCCAGCTGCTGACAGCGGTGGGATCTCCTGGCCCCTGGCTCCCTGCAGAGGAGCCCGGGCTTCGACAGCTGATATCCCAGCACCAGATGTAATTTGGCTGTCATCCCCTGCCCTGTCCAGCATCCTGGGATTTTTCATGTCCCTTCTATCCCCAAATAATTTCCTCCTTTTTTTTTTTTTTTTCTTTTTTTTTTTTTTTTTGTGAGAATAAGCCTGCAAGCTGGATAACCACATGAAAACATATGAGCAGAGAACATCCCATTCTGCCCAGAGTGCAGTGGAGGGGGGATGGTGCTTGGTAACTTGTTCCCTCCCCTTGGCAACCCAGTTTGGAGGCTGGGTTGTGTTCCCTTCCATTTCAGATTGTGTCCAAAGGCATTCCCATGCGGGCAAGGAGGATACATACACCTTCAGGGAAGAAGTACTCTATCCCCTATGGAAAGAAAAACCAGGTACTGGTCTCGTGTTGCCACTCCAGAGATGCTTCCCAGAGCACAAGGTGTTTGACAGCATTTGTAGCTCTGTGTGATGGACAGGAGGGGGCTCGTCCTCTTAATCAGGACACTGTGAGCAGGAAGGGGATTGCATGACCCCGCCCGGGGTTTCGGCAGGGCTGTTTGCAGCCGGTGGCATTTCTCGTCTGGCTGTGCAGAGCATCCTTCAGCAATGCCTCCTGAACCCCGTGTTTGCTTGCCTTGCAGTACATTCTCTCTGTGGACAGAGCAAACTTAAACAGAGAGCTGCTAACAGGTAGGTTGCCGGGTCTGTTTGCAAGCACTTTTACACCCTGTTTATCAAGGATGTAGGGTTTGCCCCATGAACAGGAGACTTTGAGCCCCAGGCTCTCTTTGCCTCTGAGTTCTGCATAACTTGGCTCTCAGAAAGTGCAAACCTGAACTAGCTGTGTTTTAAGAAGAAAATCTGTGCCATTTCCATGCTGCTTTGCTGACACAAAAGGGTATTCAAACAAGTTCCCTGAGGCTTTTCTGTGCATGCAGCTGTCCCGCATTTGCCCTTGAGTGGGAGCTGCCTCTGCTCCCTGGTTCCCTACGTCTGCTTCTAGAACTTCACCTGCCAAAGCAGGACAAACCTCCTCAGCCTTGCCATGGCTCGTGGTGTTTCCTGAAACCCCTGGTTGTACAGAGACAAATAGTCGTTGGAGTGCTGTGGTAAAGCATGTATTCAGGCCAGGCCAAATTTCCCCAAATTTCACATTGACTACAGGCACCTCATCCCCTCCTGAAATACAATGTAGTGATGGTGGAAACAGGCCAATGGCTCATGTCATTGCAGGGAAAAAACAAATCTTTGCAAGATTCGTTGCACTTTTTAAACAGTTTTCGTCCGAGTTGGCCAAACACAGTCCTAGTGTGCCGGGCTCGCTGGCCATCATTCAACACAGCAATTGTATTTGCTGCAATGGCAAAAGCCCCTATAATTTAGGGACCCCTTGGAAATATTTTTGGGCTCACATTTAATTGTCTTTTCTTTTCACAGCTGCTGAGAAGTACTCCAACACTAAACTGTACTTTGGACAAAAGGTCTTGGGGTGCAACGCAGAGTTAGGGAAGTTAACCATAAAAAGGTAATCCCTGCGCAAACCTGGGATTGAGTTCTGTGTTCAGTTAGTTTCTGCTTAATCATTCATAAAACCTCAAACAATTGAGCAATCTCAGTTTGAAACTAGCGTGTTATTCCTCAGTGGATAAAACTTGGTGTCCGCTCTGGAAAGGAGAGACATCAAAGCAAGGTTCATGAGAAGGCTGAAAAAAAATTTAAGTAACTCACCCCCCGGAAGCCTGGCAGTAGGCTAGGCACACACTTACTGACCTGTGCAGGGAATAAATGTGCCAGTCTCCATAGTGCTGGAATTCAGGGACAGATTGCTCATCAGGGAGGGCAGCTAATGACCTTGTTTCATAGTTGTGTCATGCTCTGGTCATGCCCCCTGTCCACCTGGGAATGCAGGCTCTACAAAACAGCACATTATCCCAACAGTGCCTGTTGCATTCTTGAGCAGATCTGGCAGAGTTATGCTTTTGATAACCTACAGAATAGTTATTTATCCTAATGCTGAGCCTCCCAGTCAGTGAAAGCCAATATTCCCTCACCCTAGGGGGTTAATAACGTTGGAGGTGACCCCAGAATTTTGCAAAAGGCAGATCCTCTGTGCCCAGAAGTGCTGAGCTGGCCTAGAGTTGGGGCAGGATTGATCCAAGGGACTCCCTTGCTTTCAGATTTGACCAACGGCCCTTAGAAGTCACCTACGATCTCATCGTGGGATGCGATGGAGCCTTCTCAACAGTCAGAAAGCAATTCATGAGACAAACGCGCTTTAACTACAGCCATGAGTACATTCCTCATGGCTATATGGAGCTGACCATCCCTCCCAAGGATGGAGAAGTAAGTGTGCCTTTCCCAGGGGATGCTGCCACCTTTGCAGGTAGGACACCCTGCTCCCCTCTCATGCTACAGCAGCTCCAGAAAAAGTAATTTCTCACCTGGGGCTCATCCAAGGGTTTAAAATTTTCCTAGGAGAAAACAAGCATCTCTTCCTCCTCCAATGGTGGGGCCAATGTCTTGACACCTGGCTGCAAAAATCCTAGAGAGTTTGCCCCAGAGTGGTGGAGTTAACTCTAGATCCGAGAGGTCTTGGGGATATGAGAACATGACTGTGAGGACATTAGCATTTGCAAACCAGCAGATTTTTCCCCCAGCTTTCCTACCCTTTCCTTTTGCCCTTGTTCTGTGTCTCCCTGAAGCATCAGGTACCAGAAAGGGTCTCTGTGGTCATTGTGGCTTCTCATGGAACAAAGGATGGGAACTGGTGTGCTGGTGTGGAGGGGAACCAGAGGCTGTGCTGGGGAAGCTGAGCAAGGCAGGTCGGGGTTACAAGGCGATTTTCTTCCTCTTTCAGTTTGCCATGGAACCAAACTACCTCCATATCTGGCCAAGAAACACCTTCATGATGATTGCACTGCCCAACATGGTGATAACCCACAGCCACCCTCCCTTGGGGCACGGGATGGAGCTTGTGGGGACGAACTGGCTGTGGTGGCAGGCCCGTGGCTGGGGCTGGGAGGGCTGACAAGGTGCCCGGAGGGACCCTCAGCCTGTGTCGAGCATCCCACAGCCTGGGGAGGGCTGCAGGACAGGACCCTCAGAGCAGGCACACGGCCTGTTTCTGCCTCCCTGCTGCTGCCCTCAGCGTGTGCAAGCCCACCGTGGGACGCAGGGTGGCTGGGTGCTTGCCTCCGCCGCTCGGGTGGGTTGCTGCGATTGCTGGGTGACAGGCTGGGCGCTGAGCTGCCACTCCAGGAGCTGGGGGCTCTCTGTGGCCTCTGGGCTTCTTTCTGACTTTCCTCCCCCGCTGGCAGGACAAGTCCTTCACCTGCACGCTCTTCATGCCCTTTGAGGAATTCGAGAAGCTCACAACGGGCGAGCAAGTGCTGGGTTTTTTCCAGACCTACTTCCCAGACGCCATCCCCCTCATCGGAGAGTAAGTGTTCTCATCTCCCCTTCTCCCTCACCCACACAGCGCCGCAAAGCCAGGGGATGCATCCTCACCCAGCCTCCAGGTCCCGGGGACAGGGTTGGGGACGCGGTTGGGGTGGATCCCCCGTGGCCCGCAGGTCTGCCTTGGAGTAGCTGGCTCAGCCGCAGGACACGGTTTCTGATGGAGCTGCAGTGCAGCACCGCTCCGTCCCTTGGAGGCACGGCCCAGGCCCAGATACTGCCGGAGCAAAGAGCAGATCACCTCCCACTGCTTTCATGTTGCTGTTAAAGGTTTTGAACTCAAGGGATGGATTAGCTGTTCATAAGCCACGGTTTTTTTGGTGTTAGAGGTGGGTAAGCAAAGTCACTCCGCTAGAGCGAAGGTAAAGGCCGCAGGCCAAAACCAGCAGTGCGGAGGTAGCCCTGCTGCTCAGAGAGATGAGTTGTGCAAATGTTGAGATTTTAGGTAACAGACTGAGAAAAGCTGGGCTTGGCAAAACCAAAAACCGAACAAACCAAACAAAACCAAACAAACCAGAAAAAAAGCAAAAAACAAAACAAGAAAACCCCAACCAACCAACCACCACCACCACCAAGTAACGCTGTGCCGACTACAGAAAGACTGGCAGTTATTGATCGCACGGCTAAAACAAATGTCAGGGCTGTGGGGCACAAGAGCAAGCAGTTCGCAGTGGCGTGCAGCTCTCAGGGCAGGGAGGACCCTCTCACTGCTGGGCAAACGGCACAAGTGGAACAGCGTGGAGCTGGAGCATCCTGCTCCCCCCGGGGGCCCTGGCTGCAGTGGGGGTCGGGACCAGTCTTGCCAGCACATGTCCCGAGGGCCATGGCTCTGCTCAGCCTGTCCTCATGCTCCTGCGAAGAGGGAAGATCCCCAGCTGGTGGGAGTTCCAGCCCACACTATTAATAATTATGCTTCGCATCGTAGTTATCTGTTACTGTTTTTTTTTTTGGCTGATAGGGTCTCAGCTGTGTTAGGCAGATTCCTTTCCTCTTAAGGAGACTGTATCACAGGTTTTCATATAAACTCAGAAACTCAGATATCTTCTCGTATATCCTTCCTACCATGTCCAACATCCATCACTGCTCACGGTAAGAGGACTCAGATGTCCATGACACTCCTATCCACGGTCAGGATGTGTGCAGAGCTTAAAACCTGCAGACAAAACATTTGGTCCATAGGGAGAAGTTAATGTCATAGGTTTTATGACCTCCACATTTTCCCCAGCACAAATATCCTAATGAGTAGGCCTGGGTTTTGCATCCCAGCACTGACAATGCCGGTGGCCCTGGCTTCCTGAGCTTGGACATGGCATGACTTGCTCTTCTTGTCTCTCGTGGTCCCACAAGTGAAGTATCTGTTGTTTTGCCTGAAGGCGAGAGCTGAAGCACGATTACTTTTTGCTGCCAGCCCAGGCCATGATATCTGTGAAGTGCTCCTCCTACCACCTTGGCTCCCGGTGCGTGCTGATGGGAGATGCCGCGCATGCTGTTGTGCCCTTCTACGGACAGGGCATGAATGCTGTAAGTTCACGGTCGGCCCTGGGCCATGTCAGTCGGGTCCCCACTCTTCTCACCCAGAAATGCCTGGGCTTAGAGTGTAGCCGGGGAGGAGAAGGGACAGGGTGGTGATGCCACTGTCCCACGGGGCAGAGGACTGCGTGGGAGGGGGGACCGGCAGGGTAGCCCCAGCCTGCCGGGAGAGGCAACCCCCTGGATTTCTCTGCGAGACCCCTGGCAGAGTGGCCTGGAGTAAAGCTCCTGCTCTGCAGCTGTGGTCAGTGGGACCCCGCGTGCACAAGCAGCTACACTAGAAAAGCATCTGTGAGAGTGCTTCTCATGAACGCGTGGCTCCTTCTTCCTGTTTACCCTCTGGTTTTCCTCCCAGGGCTTTGAGGACTGTCTGGTCTTTGACGAATTAATGGACCAGTTCCACAATGACTTTGGTGAGTGAGGTGGCCGGGGAGGAGCGGGAGCAGAGGAGGATCCCTCTGCAGCTGAAGGCAGCTGGATACCCTGCTGGGGAGCTGCCCCTAAAGCGCTGCTTTCTTCTCCCAGGTGCCTGTCTCCCTGAGTTCTCCAGGCTGAGGGTCCCAGATGACCACGCGATCTCAGATTTAGCTATGTACAACTATGTAGAGGTAGGTGAGCCGCACACGGATCTGTGGCCTGTGTTAGGATGCACACAGCAGGCAGGAGCTCTGGCAAGGCTCTGGGCGGGCTCTTATCCCAGCAGATTTTAGCCTAAGAACTCCTTGTGGATGCCACTGGGGCTAGGGAGGCTCTGCTCCCTGCGGTGACCCCAGGACAGGCAGCGGGAGAGCTAGCAAAATGCAGGGGGCTCTGCCGAGACACCCCGGCAAAGGGGTGATGGTTGCTCTGTTGCAGATGCGTGAACACGTGAATTCAACGTGGTTCATTTTCCGGAAGCACATAGACAACATCCTCCACACCCTCATGCCTTCCACCATCGTCCCGCTGTACACCATGGTAAGGCCAGCCCCTCGGTCCCCACCGCCTGAGCTGCCACGAGCTCCTCCTGGCTGGCACTGAGGTGGTGATGTGCTCCTGGCAACCCTCCTAGGTCACCTTCACCAGAATTCGCTACCATGAGGCACTTCAGCGCTGGAAATGGCAGAAAAAGGTTGGTTGGTGGTGGTGCCCGTCCTCCCCATGCCATGAGCCTCGTGAGCTCCACATCCTGCACGCCAGCACTGCTCAGCTGCGGGGCGGGGGGACTTTGGTGGCGGGATATTGCCAGGTGAATGCTTGGTGCCACAGGATAGAACGAACCTCTGATGACACTGGGGTTTCTCTTTGCACTTTCAGATAATTAATCGAGGGCTTTTTGTCATGGGGGCAGCAGGATTGTGTGGCACCTACCTGCTCGTAAAGTGGCTGGCGCGGGACTCAGACTTCTGTGTGGAAAACTTGTGGGGATGGTCCCATTACCTCAAGAAGGTTGGAAATTTTCCCTTTGGCACACAGGTGGCTTAAATGTGAGGCGAGATGCTGGTTGTAATAAAAGTGAAGGCATGAGCTGTTGGCTTGGCTGGATGACGCTGGATGACTCTTGGGATGTGACCCGGCAGCTCCTGCAGCCCCTCTGCATTGGGAGCAGCAGTGGTCCCTGTCCCTCTCCCCAAGCGAAGGGAGCCCATCAGGGCACAGGGTGCCCAGAGAGCCTCTGCCAGGGCTCAGACGTTGCCCTGCCTCATCTCGGCAGCCTTGCCTTGCGTGATGTGGTGTGTCATGCGCTGGCTGCGTGTTTTGTGTGCAGTAACAGGGGGAGGGGGGGACCATGTGCTCTCCCAGTCAGCAGAACGGCCACTTGAACGGGTCGGGGTGTCCCAGCCTGTACTGCTGACTTCTGCTCTTACCAAAGTCAAGCCAACATCTGGACTTGAAAACCCACCAGCTTCCTCCTCCTCACCCCAAGTCAGAGAAAATGCAGTTCATTTACTCTTGGTGAAAATGAAACAACTTTAAGAAAGGATGTTCTGGGGCAGTGCTTGAAGCCTGGAGAAAGGGCTGTTCCACATCTCTCTGAGAATACTTCCAACTTCTGCAAGCAGCTCTCCACATACTGACCATCAAGCCTTTGGGCTAAATCAAGACCAGAGCCCTGAAAGACCGTTCTTAGCTCACTGTTTTGCCTTTGGGCTTTTGTGCCTGCCCTAGAATATACTGCTGTTTTACACAGTTACTGTTCATATGTATTTTTTAAAAAAGCCTGGATTCCTCACTGATTTTCTCTAACTGTCCTACAAAGCACATAAGTGGTTGTGCTTCTACTGCACACACCACACCAGCAGAAAGACCTACAGCTGCTGATGGTGGAGACGGACAGTCTCTCTGTGTTCAAGTAACAACCTCTGTCCAGGTCCCTGGCCATGGGCATCGCATCCAAGAGCCAGAGCCCTTACAGGTGCCTCTGGTGACTTTGTGCAGCCAGGCATGGGGTGCACAGGACCTACACTGAGCTGGGGAACCTTGAGCCAAAAATAGCTGCGGGCTGGGATAGTACTGGGGCGACTATCAGACACGCTTTCTTTCCTCTTACCTTGCCCTAGACCCTCACAGTCACTGTTGAAGAACAGCAAAATGGCCCAGATTAACCCCTGATCTGATGTGATACAGCCAGTATTGTTTAAGGTAGTTTACACATAGCTGCCAGCAGAGATGAGCGGGGACAAGGACTGGTTTGCATCATTTAGTGAGTCATTTTTGGCTTGCAGGGTGACATCTTTCAGAGCATAGGTGGCAAATTTGTGTAGAAGACAGTTTGTTTCTCTGGCCAGCGTCTATCCCAGGCACTGTATCTATGGGAGATGCTGGCAGCAATGACAGGATTTTGCTGCAGTTTCTCCAATGAACTCTTCAGCTGCTGGCCTTGCACCTGATTCTTAGAAGGACGCGTGTTTACTTTATATATTAATTTTTATTAACGTTAAACCTCTTCAGAGCAAATGAAGATCTGACATAATACAGCCATATGCAAGTTACTCCCAAACTTAAGCCAAATATGGAATTGTACCGCTATTTCATAGGAATGACCTCACAACATAAGAGCAGTTAGCTGCTGTGCATGGTTTGGAGAAGCGCTGAGCTGGAGACGGGCCCTGTACTGCCGGGTGCTCTGCGTGCCTGGCCCTCAGCGTGTCTGATGCGCTCACTGGGCAGGGAAGAGACGTAGCCCTGGGGGTGGTGGAAGAAGCCCCGGCCAACCTCTGAGCTGCAGGCAATGCTTCACGTGCACGGTGCCGTTTCATCGTTCAAACAGTTGTTCCTTTGCATCCTTGTCATGAAGAAGGCTCTAGGCCTGGCGGAGGTAAGGCAAACTTGCAGGAGCCCAAGCAGAACCTTGCCCGAGGTAGGTCTGAGAGGGGAGCAACGCCGGGAAGCAGCTGATGATGTGGGAAAAAGATTCAGTGCGTGTTCCCCAGTTGCTCTTCTGCTCTGGGTACAGGTGCTTGCTAGCCCTTAGGGCCCGTCACCTCACTGCAAACTCCAGAGCAGACCACCAGCCCAGAGGACCCTCCACGTCCACCTCAGCAGGGAGTGCTTTAGAAACTAGTGCAAACATAGTGGTGGAGACCAGTGCAGCAGGGAAAGGCATGGAGCAGATCCTGCTCCCGGGGAAATAGCAGTTTTGAAATCCCAGCTCCAAATCAAAGGTGGAAGCGCTCTGTGAATTCAGCTGCTGTTGGGGCTTGATGTCCAAGAGTCCTGCCAGAAGTCAGAGATAGCATCAAGAGCGGAGACAGCCGGTAACTGGGATGGGAACCACTGCATGTGCCCTCTTGTGAGACCTGCTCTGCAGTCCCATCTGTGGCAAAGCTGCGTCTGTTCCCTTCTCCCAGCTCCGCTAACCCAACCTGTGCCAGCAGACAGGCGTGGTTCAGCCCCTCAGCCAGCGCCTGATGTGCCAGTGGCCTCTTGGAAGAATGGAACAAACCAACAGGATAAAGACGAGGAGGCGGGAGCCTTAGTTTGAGATTTCCCTAGCTTGGCGTTTCTTTATTTGATGGAGGGTCCCAGCACTGCCAGGCGCTGCTCCACTTCATTGCCCGTTGAACCTGGGGTTCACGACCGTGGTGGTGGCACTCTTGAAGAGGGGGTTGTCAGCCTGGAGGGAGAGAATTGAGAGGCCCGCGTTGTTGTGCTGTATCGGATTTTCAGCGGGGCGTTATCCACCCCACCCCTCCCAGCATCGACGCTGCAGGCACCGCTGGCAGAAGAGCCCACAGGCTGCTTTAGTCCCCTGCAAAATCCAGCTGGCTGGGAAAGCGGCCAGTGGGGAGGGCTCAGGTCTGCCGTGGTTGCCTCTGGAGAGGACATCCCCCCTCCAGGTGTCCCCCCCCCCAACGTGTACGTGAGCGTCCCAGCACACCCCACCCCTGCGGACAGGCTCTCTTACATCGTTCCACTTGGCCTTGGACTTCTCCTTCTCGAACCGGCGGTATTCCCGGCGGTCAAACAGCTCCGTCAAGAGCCTCCAGATCAGCAGGAGCACCAGGCCGATGAGGGCCACGCCGGCGACGGTGCTGCCCACGATCAGCGCGATGTTGGGAGGCTCTGGGCACTCTGCGGGGCAGAGAGACAGCGTCCAGCTGCAGCCCCCAGCGAGGCAGAGCTGGCAGCCTGTCTGCAGAGGGGCAGGAGGAGCCGCACTAGAGCACCTTTTTTAGGATCGATGCTGACGGTGTACATCTCCTCGCCGTCCTCCTGGACCATGCGGAAGGAGATCCAGCAGTTGTCGGAGTCCTTCTCCCTGCACTGCTTGCTCGCCCCCGTCAACTGCTCGGTCACCAGGATGTTGGGGCAGGCCTGGGAGCAGTTCTTCTTGAAGGGGCCGCTCAGGAAGGCCTTGCACTCCATGCAGGAGCTGCGAAACAGGTGGACACAGCTCACCTCTGCAGGGGCAAAAGCCTTCTCACCCGCCTTTGGTCATGGCTGGGCTCTGTTCAAGAGCAAGCAGGGCTCACCTGAGCCTGTCTGGGAGGTGGGGAGGATCCCCGCCACCCCCCGCCCCCCCGCCCCATTTCCACACCCATCACTCACACGTATCTGCCGCAGGGCGAGGGGCAGCCGGGGCACTCCTGGCAGAAGGGGGGCTGGTATCCCTCCCGGCACTGGCAGCGGTTGCAGTGGCAGGTCCCGCGGTGGCTGCACTCGTTGCCACGGATGTTCAAGCAGCCGTCTGTCGACTTCTTGCACTGGCAGGCGCTGCCCTGGTACTCAGGCGTGCACTTGCACTCCCCGCAGTCGCACCTCCCGCGGTCTGCAGCAGAAGGACCTTACAGGGGATCCTACAGAGCGCCAGGTTGCCCTCCCTCTGCCCGTGCTTGGAGAGCATCGCCCACCGTGGGGTGGTCTCCGTGCCGCCCTCCGTGGGGTGGTCGGGGAGGTCCTGCAGGCTGCTGTGGTGGGACCCAGGACCCCCCCAAACCCACCCACTCGGCTTCTGGCAGGGAAAGGCAGCATCTCCCTGGGGACTTAACCTTTCTAAACAGCGCCCTGGTGGAGAATCCCTCCGGCAGATGCATCACCTTTGCCGCCGCAGGGAGAGCCGTTGTGAAACTCGCAGTTCACGTTGTCGCAGTCGCAGAAGGTGCCGTAGATCTGCTTGCCGGGCACGTCGCTGGTGTGGCAGATGCACTGCCCGCACACGCAGTCTCCCAGCCCCGAGCAGATCACCGAGCTGTTGTCCTTCCGGCAGCTGCTCTCCAGCTCCTTGCTGGTCTTGCCTTTGGTTTCACACTCGCAGTTCTTCCCCAGGTAGCCCGAATTGCAGCTGCCGGCAAAGGAGAGGAGTAAGCCTGGGTCGGCGGCCACAAGAAAGGCCGTGGGGCACGGTGCAGGGCCCAGACCTCAGCCAAAGCGGAGCAAAACTGGGGCAGCCTCGCTGAAAACCAACCATGGCATGTTGGTGCTAACGCCGTGCTGCAGCAGGGCAGCTGACCGGGAGAAAACCACAGAAATGCTGCTTTTCCCCCAGTCATATTTACAACACCAAATGGTTGCCTGGAAAGTATTGTTGTCTGTATAATTTCCAAACCCTTGCCAAGAAGATCTGAGTATTTCCTGGGGAACCCCCATCTTTTCCTCTCCCTGACACCAAGGGGCCACAAAGCAATAACTGCACTCAAAGACCTGCGTGAACTGCAGCCCAGAAGTGGGATTTTGAGAGATTCCTACAGAAATCTTTGTCTGATCAATGGGTGGGTTGGATGGACTGGGGAGTGGATGCCCTTAGGAAAGCAACAGAGGCTCCACCAACAGAAAAGAGAGCTCACTGTGTCCCCTGCCTCCATGAACAAAATCTCCCTCTCTGAATAAAAAAATTGGTGCAAAGCTGCAGAGCCAAGCCCTCGGCTTGGCCCATGGCCCTCTCCCAGAAGTTCCCCAGCCCTGGCAGCATTTGAAATAGTGTTTTGAGGGGAGAGCACGTACCTGCAGATCCCACAGATGACGCTGCCTTTCCCACTGCAGGCAGTTGGGTCGGGCTGCTCGTTGCAGTTGCAGTCACAGTTGCTCTCCAGATGGACAGTGAGGGTGTCTGTGAAGCCCAGCGGCCGGATGGTGAAGGACTGGCTTTTGATGCACTCCTTGGCCGTGACCTTCACTCTGAAGATGACCTAGAGAGTGCAGAGTGAGAAAGGGAAGGGCCAGAGACCACCAGGTAGCTTTAGCAGCCGAGGGGTGGTATTGCCCCCAGGCTGAGCACACACACGTCCAGCACAATGGAGGATCCCCACATCTCGCAGCATTTTAGACCCTCTTGGCCTTAAATTCATATAATCAGAAAACCCGGACCAACATTAAACAGGCCGGGCATCAGGAACCTTGCAAGCTGCGGGGTGTTCCTGGTGTGGGGGAACATACCTCATCGTTGACCTTGACGTTGTCACACTGCCCTTTCGCTTCGTCCAAGCTGACCTTGCCCTTGTTGCATATGGAGTCGTATTTGACATCCAGGACGTCTGGCAGGGCGGAGTGGTCCAGGATGATCTGTGAGGAGAGGTTCTGTGGCGAAAGGGTGGAGAAAGCACCGTCAGTCCAAGAGGAGACCAAAGCAAGGGGGTGTGGGGTTTCAGGTCAGGGCTGCCCTCCAGCCCAGGGGATAGGGGCAGGGAGCACCCCAGGCTGGGGTCTCAGCTGCCTGGGGTGGTTCTGGAAAGGCAGATGGTAGCATTGGAGAGGCAGGAACCTCTTGCTTGCTGTGGGCAGAGGACTCAGCATGTCCTGTACTCAAAGCCCTGGTCCTCTGACGGTGAGGACACACGATGGGAACCTCTCCCTGCTCCGAGCCCTACCAGACAGGCAAAACACAGCCTCCTCCAGCACTTACATTGTAGGCCACCTGGATGAGTTCGATGATGTTGCTGGAGTCCTCATTCAGCTCTCCCACTGCCGACTTTGGGATCATCTCACTGAGTTTCTGCCAACGGAGAGGAAAGAGGTGAGCGGTGCCCCTGGCGTGACAGCAGAGCAGGGGGCAGTGGTGGGAGGACACGCAGAGCTGTTTCTGTCCTCCTGGGGAGGGACGGGAGGCACCTGGACCGTCTCAAGTCTCCTTACCTTGTAAACATCCACCACCTTACTGGTGACAGCAAAAATGGGCTGAATGTTGTTTTCGGCAAGTTTCTGGACCAGCTGGCCGACAGACGGGTAGTCCTAGGTGGGGAGAGGGATGACATGCTCAGCACAGTCTCCCCCCCCCCAGCAGAAGGGTGGACAGTTTGTGTTTCACGGCCCAAATTATGGTGATTATGGTGACCTCGTAGTCTCAGCAACAGGCATTTTACGTGACTATTTTTTTTTCTGCCTGGGGGAATGAGGCTGAGGGTGTGGAGCCGCCCAGCAGCGCCTGGGTACTTACAAACTCGTTGCTCTTTTTGTACATGTTGTCCTCCAAGTGGCACTGGCCATCATTGGGGGTCAAGATGGCTCCAAGCTTGCCGTCGCCGGCGAAGTGGAAGCCGTCATCCGTGGCATACACCAGCAAGCGGGTCACGTTGCGCCAGCCGATCAAGTCCTGCGAGTGGCAGGGAGAGCCGTCCCTGAGCGGGGCTGGCAGGACAGGGCCAGCGGGCACGGTACGGCCCTTGCCAAAGTCCCTTGTCAGCCACAGTGCGTGGCAGAGGGCATGGGGGAGGTGGGTTACAGGAGGTCGGGGTCAGGAGGCTTTGGGGTAAGATGCTCTCTTACCCCCTCCCCAGAGTAAGGTGGCCCACTGGTGAATCAGGACTTCTGCACGGTGGGCTTCCAGAGCCCACCTGGAGAGGGGCAGAGCCACCTCCTGAGGGACAGCCCGCGAGCGTGGGGTCACAGCCCTCGTGCCTGCGCGTGGCTGCCAGCAGCGGGGCGGACGCAGGGACTCACCCCACACACCGCTGCCTGCATCATGGCATCCAGCCCCCCCTCGGGGGCATCCAGGTTCCCCGAGATGAACTGCTTCCCCACTTCGCTCTCGAACTTCTTGGCGTTGTCGGTCAGCGAGAGGATGTGCTTGAAGGCGAAGGGAGGCTGGCATTGCTTGTCCTTGTTGGGGCAGGGGTTCTTCAGCTTCTCAGGGTGCGTGTTGACGAAGGGCAGCACCGTCTTGTCCACGAAGGAGCCAAACCCTAGGGCATCCAAGACTGCAGTGTCAGGGGCAGCAGGGACCAGCAGGCATCCCCGTGGCACAGGGCATGGACAATCTGCTGTCCCTCATGTCCGTGTCTATGTCCCCTGCCCTGGCACACCCTCCAGCCTGGCAGAGGACAGGTCACACTGCCCACTGTCTGCATCCCACTCCAGCCCCGTGGCTTTTCCCAGCAGCAAAGAGCTTTGCCAGGGTCCCGTGCCAGCGACAGGCTCACCTATGCGGCGAGAAGGGGTGGTGCTCTCCAGCGCCCTGAGCAGCTCCCCTCCCAGCTTCTTCACCTTCTCCAGGTCATCCAGCATGGAGTAGGAGAGGTCCATGAGGTAGTAGAGATCAATGGGATACCCCACGGCATGGCGAAACTTCACCTCGAATACAGCAGGCTGGCCTGTGGGACGGGGATGCTGGGATCAGCGGCTGCGCTGTGGCTCACATCTCACCCCATCTGGGATCCTCCTCGCCCCCCCCCCCCCGCCCCGCGCTGGGATCCTCCTCTCTTTCGGAAGAAAAGGGGAGGAAATGCGGGCTGTGAGTCCCAGCTGAGCGTGAGGGTGAGCAGAAGGGCGTTGGGAACGCCAGGCAGACCGTACCTATCCTCAGTTTCAGGTGCACCTCCTGGGGAGTCAGCTGTATGTCATTGCTTAAGGGACTGTCCCGTGTTCTTGTAATGTTGTTGACTGGAAACTCAATCTCGCTGCCCTGGCATCCTCTCAGTTGAAGCTGCTCGATGGTGTCGCAGCGGATGGAGTCTGGCTCGCCAGCTTTGGTGAAACTCTGCATGTTGCAACATCAGTGGGAAAAAAAATCAGAGGAGCAGGAAATGAACAGGCTTGTTACAAGGTGACCCAGCGCCCAAACCAGGTTTCCAGGGTACCGATGGAGAAAGGGAGGTTGAAGGGTCCTGTCTGCCAGATCCCTTCTTGCCCCATCCACCATGTAGGACATAAAACACTCCCATGAGACAGCCTCCCCCCTCCACCGCAGGCAGAGCCGGGCGGGCAGGGTGACCACCCTGCTGCCCATTAGCTGGGTGCTGGGGGTGGCAGGGCAAGAGGCTACACGGACCTACCGGCTTCTTGCACCAGGCACATCCAGGACCAGACTGGATGCAGTCCTTGCATGTCCCCACCTTGATCTTGGGGCACTCCATGGCAAAGGCTGAAACGGAGAGAAGACGGCATCGGCATGGGGGGCGCTGCGGGGAGGCTGATCTGCAGCAGTGGCAGCCACGGGGTGCTCTGACACCCAGCTCTGGGCACCTATGCTGTCCTGAGCCCACCCTACCTATGAACCCCATGCTGGGAGCCCTGACAGGGTCGTCACCCTGCTGTCCCTCAGCTGGGCCGGCTCAGGTTAACCTCACATCCCAGGAAATGCAGGGTCCGGCCCTCGCGCAGCTCTCCATGCCATGTGCCTGCTGCTGTTGGGCAGCATTTGGGTCCTTCCCTTCCCCGTTTCACTGCCCACACACAGTGCCGGGAGGCAGGCAGCGAGGAAGGGCCGGTCGGACTCACCAGCCATCACCAGCAGCAGCGCCCAGGTCACCGCCGGCAGCCAGAGGCAGCAGTCACGGGACATTTTCTGCAAGACAAAAAGCATCCCTGTGACCACCTGGTGCACGGCAGCCGCGGGGGGGGGGGGGGGGGGGAAGCCCTCGAACCCTATAGAAAATGTCTGCAGAGGACGGTGACCCCAGGGGGACCTGCCCTTGGCACTGGTGTCCCGCTGCCGGCAGAGCCTGGGAGGGTGACCAGCCGCCAGGCAGCCAGGGCCAGGGCAGGGCACCCCGGCTGTGCGGGCTGACTCGGGAGAGGGGCTCACGTGCTCTTACAAAAATAGCTGGTTTACAACAAACATGGCTTTGGGGCTTAAATGTGGAAGTCAGCAGAGGGGGAACTTGCACTGGATCTCCATGCGTTCAGCTGGAGTGCTGCTAAGCTTGATGTAGTGTTTCTCCAGACTCTTCTACTTATATATTTATGTAACATTGGAAAACCTCAAGCACTGCATTTAGTTTTTACTGATGTGAGTTTTTTCAGTTTCTACGTGAAGCTATATTTGGATGGAAATTGGAATTAAAATGAACAAAAGGACCACTGCTATTAATTAACTAGCACGGCATGCTAGATACATGGAAAAAAAAAATCTGTTACGACTTGCTTTCCGTTTAACCAATTCATCAAGGAAATGAAGTGTTCCATGCAGTGAATTAATGTCAGTTTTCCTGCTGAGGGTTTCCAACAAGCGAGAGTCTCCAGCGTCGCAGCACGGGTGACTGCCATCCCAGGGGAGCCGCGGCCCTGCCTCCGTGGGCTGGCGCTGCGTGGTGCGGCGTGGCAAACAACAGGCTGGCTCTTGCCCAACGTGCAGGGTGGGGAAGAAGGACGAGGTGTTGGAGTCAGACCCGCGTGGGGAGGGGGGGCCAGGCCGTGGTGCCGTGGGTGGGGGCTCTGGCCCTGGAGCTGGGGGGAGGTGGCTGCACGTTTCTTACCGGCGCGCAGGGAAGGACTCCCAGCACATCGTCCAAACCTCACGGGCACTTACTATCCTCAGCCACACCAGCGTTTCAGAGCACAATAGGGACCTTGGTCTTCACAAGCACGTTCTCACAGTGCTTGTTCTAGCTGCTCACACTACTCACTTCTTGCCCCAAAGCACGTCTCCTGACTCCAGCAATTTATGCCATCCACAAAGCTGGCCAAATCGCTCTCAGGGAGTGATTTTTCAGTGTTCTTCCCGTGGTGTCAATGAGATCACATTCATTACCACTGTAATTTCTCGTAACACCTTCCCCCCAGCACAGCCCTGGAGCAAAATCCAACAGAGTCACCCCTCTTGCAACAAGGACATACACGAGGAAGTGAGAAAAGAGGAATATGTTAAAAGAGCAAAAAGGAATATGACAGCACGAAGGAACAACGAGCATTGCCCCTTTTGGCAATATTAGACACAGCATCTGAAAAACAGGTCACTGGTTTTGAAATAGCTCTGACACTGCCCTGAGCAAGAAAATAACCACTCCCTGGCTCCAGCCAGCTTCCCAAAGTGCCATCACCCCCTCCTGCCGAATTAACAGCTCAGAGTGAAGCGGAAATGAGAAAACAAGGGAAACCTTCACAAGGCTTCGAGGCCAGGTTAATACGTGGGGCTGCTCAGATCCCCTTCCGAGACATAAGGATTTCCTTTCTTAGCTCATCAGCCTCTGTAAGATACCAGACAAGCAAAGGATGACACTGGTCAGCCTTGAAAGAAGGTCTGGTCTCCCTCCTGAGGGCAGAAGGAAGGTCTGGGTAGGTCAGTGGGTGTCATTTCAGTGACATTTGCACAGTGAGGTGTGGTGCCCAGCTGTAGCATGGACCTGGAGATGTAGCATGGACCTGGAGATGTGGCAGGACCACCGAGGCTGGTTGCCACCCCTGCTTACGGCCGGGGCCACTTGGATGTGAAGGTCTGCAGCCTTGGGAAGCCCACGCTGCCCTGGGGCCGGCCTCCCCGGCACAGCTCCGGCAGCCTTGTCACCGCGCGGCTGCGCAGGCACCTCGGTGGTCACCCAGTCAGACCCTCATGGTGATGTGGCCCGGGAGCTCGCTCTGCTGTGCCTGGCCCAAGACCATCCTGCGGTCGGTGGACGGAGCCCTTCTTCAGAAAGATCTCCTCCACAAGTCCCTCTCCATCACCACAGTCCACCTTGCTGAGGTTTTAACGGCACCATTGATCCGCACACCTGCACCCTCCTCGCCTGCCTGATACTCACTTGCTGTGCTTAGCTGGCCCAACACATTTTTGCCACCTCCGAATTCTGACAGCTTTCTTTGAGCTTGCAGGCAACACGTAAAAACTCTTAAAGTGGAAAAAAAAAAAAAAAAAAAAAAAAGGAAAAGGTCTTAACAGTACAAGCTCTTATCGAGGCAGGGTGGACATCAGCAAATCCCTGATGGAAAATGACTTCGGTCACTCATTTGGGCTGTGGCACCCTGTGCCCAGTGTACCTGGGGACATGTGCCAGCCCAACCTGAGGGGCCTCCACGAGCAACGTCCCACCCTGAGGCACAGCTGGCTCCTTCAGGGCCACGTTTGCTGCACTCTTAGCTGTACTCACGCTCTTCATTTGTTATTGATTGCTGCTTGCATCTGCTTTGCCGCACGTTTCTAGTTAATCAGTAGTGCCCTGGGGATGCTGAAAACAGTGCGAGCCCGTATTTCTGCAAACCTCCCCAGAAAACAGGGCCAGGGAAACAGGCTCTTGCCCAGCAAGAGCTGCTGCTGTGGCAGGAGTGAAGAGCCTCTCCCTCCCTTGTTTCCCGTAACATTCAGCTTATTGACGCCCCAAATATGCCTAGTTAGGCTCCAGGCTCTTCTACAAGCTAGAAGTTTCTACACAGGCTGTGGGGACCAAACCCACGGGCTGGATGAGCTCCTGGCATCCCACCTGCCCAATGTTTCCAAGTGTTTAATTCCTGCTGCCATGCCAAGGCGTGGGGCAGCGATGGGGTGGACCGAGGCTCTGAGAGCTCCTCATTCTTGCTGGAGATTAGAGACTCCGATCTACAGGCTCATCTCATAAAATAAAGTTTCCAGATAAAACTGGATTTAAAAAAGCTCCCAAACCCCAGAAATAAAGTGGGAACCTCAACACATGTCCAGTTCATGCTGTTGTGTTTTGTAGGGTTCGTTTAATGGGCTGGATTTGAACGCCTTTCTAATCCGCAAAGGCATTTCTTTCCCCGGTCACAAGAACGTAAAGCACACCCTGACACTAGGGGAGAGCAGAGGAAGAAAGCTCACCACTTCTCTTCTGCTGTGGAGGGAAATTTTTCACTGGTGTGTGGGTGAGTAAGCATACACATGATGTAGGGTGATTTGCAAAGAGCACAAGTGGGGCTTCTGCTTCTGTCTGCCTCCTTACAGTGTTCAGAGGCGGGGAAGGCAGATCTTCAGTCTGACTCTGCATCAGCAGGGTCCAGACATAGGCCCCAGCAGCGTTTTCTCCAACCCCCTTGACGATTCCTTCGGCTCAGTCCCTGCCACCACCAGTCCTGGGTGCTCTTCTCCTGGGTGTGATCTGCCCGGCATGTCGGGATTTTCATTTTTTCTCTCTCTTTTCCATAAATTAAGGCAAGCAGAGGGATGCGCGCAGTCCAGCCTCCTGCCCTGGTGTGAAGGAGCAGAACTGCAGAGCTGTACAACCGCCTCCAATCCCGGGTTGGGGAGCGAGGTGCACCCCGGTTAGGGGCTGGGGGCGTCACCACCAGGTTCTGCTCCCAGGCCAGGGCCGCATGGTGGCATTTTCGGGGAGAAGACTGCACCCCGGGAGCGGGGTCCTCCTTGGCCCTGAGCTCTGAATTTCTCAGCACATGGCCTTGGGCGGCTCGGGACCAGGGCTCCGCTTCACCAGGAGCTCTTTGCAGGGCGTTCCATCTACGGAGCATCTGTTGCTCGCTGTATGTTATATACTTGGCATGACTCAGAAAGGGAAATGTTGGAGAATGGCTCAGAGACAAGGGTCCTGAGCCCACCGAGCAATTGTATGATCAGAGCCAGCTCTAGCTGCTGATGCTGGGCCTCACTAGGGTTTGCCTGCAGCTGCTCGCAGCTGCTGATACAGGAGGAATGTCAAGGACGCTTCAGCCCTGTGTACCGTGGTGTGTCGAAAACAGGTTAAGGGGAATTAGGAATACTGGTCTGAGAAACCCAGTGTTATGGTAACGGTGGTCTGAGAAACATTGTGTTACGGTACTGTCGTGTATCGAAAACAAGTCAACAGGAATCAGAAATAGTAGCACGAGAAACTTAGTGTTATGAGAAGCTTGGGCTGTAAGCTAACTGCAAGTAGGTGGACCGTGCGAATACGACCTTTAGAGCTTAAGCCAATCAGCTAGTGACTAGTAGGCATAATAATTATCATTGTCTGTATAAATATATGTACCCTGGACCAATAAACACACACGTTGATTGATGCTCTATCACCCACACTGAACCCGTCTCGGCGTGTCGTTCGTCCGCGGCTCCGCAGGGAAAGATGCTCCCCAAGGGTCTGCAAGCCAGAAAATGTGAAGGTGGCCTCAGGGAAGGTGCACGAGGAGAGGGTTGGGTGCTGTCCCACGTGCCGGCAGGGAGCGAAGCTGGGGCATGCCAGCCTCTCGGGGCACTGGGTACGTTGGGGGTGTCAGTGGGATGTGCAGCGTGGAGGAGCCATTTGGGGTTTAGAAATAGGGCTGAAGAGGAAGTGTTGATGCTAGCGCTGATCTCCTCGCTACAAGCAGAGACAGGTCTTGCAGCCTGTCAGCCACAACTCCCCCTCGGCGCTTTGCTAAACGTCCGTTTTCTCGCAAAACACGAGGACACGCTCTCGTGCCCAGTATCCCAGGAGGATTCCTGGGGGGGGGGGGGTTTGCACCACCCGCCTGCAGCAGCGAGATGCCACTAGCCTCGGTGCTTGTGCCTCCGTGCCCCTGCGTGCTTCCTCCGTGCTCCCCGGCACCCCTGGTGCCACGTCACCATCGCGCCAGGTATCGCACCCAGCAGGGCTGCTCCTCTCCCCCCACACTCGGGGCGGCCCCAGGCCCCCTGCACGGGTGGCAGCCGAGCGGAGCGGGGTACAGCAAGGACGGGAGAGGGGGTGTCGCTTGGCTCGTGCCCAGTTCTTCCATCACTTGGTTGTGTGATGTGGTTAGTTCCCATCAAGGCAGGCGGCCATACACAGGGTCTCCCACTGGCTAAGACTCCCTCCGTGCAGAGTATCACACTCAGTGTGTGTGTGTATATATGTATTTTTACATATTTTTTTTTTATATAGCTAAAAAAAATTACTGAAAAATATAAAAATATACAAGTGTTTATATATATGTAAAGAATATATATGTATTTCTGTGTCCTGTCACAGGAAATACGTGTATATTTTACAGATATCTCCTTCCAGCAGCCTCTAGCAACTGCAGAGGAAGGGTGTGGGGGATGAGCCCCTGGCCCATGGCATCCCTTGGCTCTGAGCACCAAGGTCCCCGGGGGCCCCTGGGGGTTTGTGCTGCTGGGTGTCCCTGGCTCAGAGCCCTGCTTGCGTGGGAAGGGGCTGCCCCGCCCGGGTTGTTTTGCCCTGGGGTGGTCTGCGATTTTTAAGAGCAGAGAAGCCATTTCTTGTGTCTTATCTCCAGTGGGCATCACCTCTTGGCCAATCCCAGAGGGGATGCTGTGGCGGCTGCTGTGTTTGCAGAGATGCAGGGCAGAGTCCCAGGCCTGAGCAGGGACCCAGGGACCTGCCCGAGGGCACAGCCTGTCCCCTGGACCCGGCAGAGCTCGTGCGTCGTGGGAGCAAAGGAAGGATCCCCCATGACCACCAGCCCTGTGGTGACTCTAGTACGTCTTTCTCTGAGAAAATAAATCACCCTGCACCACACTCTCCAGCATGCTGAGGTCACTTGTGACTGAAGCAGCACCGAGACGAGGACAGAAAAAGCACAAAACCACCGTGTGAAGCAGGATGTGACAGCAAAGCACATTGTTTAAAGCCTTCCCACACCCTGCAGAAGCTGCGTACCAGCGTCCCGTCGGCCACAGGGCACGCCGCCTCTGCAAGGGTTCACACGGCTGCTCTTCACCTGCCTGGGAGGCTGGGAGCTGTGGCCACGGTGTTGGAAAAAACACTGAAAACAGACGCCAGGCTGCTTTCCCTGACACCTGGAGCGTGCCCCACGTGTTGTCCGCATCCGAGCGCCATGGCAGTTTTAGGAAGGACCTGCTCTGCCCACGGTTAGCTTGCCTGCAGCCTCTCCGCCTTCCCTGACGCTGCCAGGGTTCAGTGGTTTTGTTCAAAGGGTTCAGTTTCCAATAGACCTCAGCAGAGTACAGCGCGCAGAGAGATGAAGGAGAAGCACGAGGGTCTCACCCGCCTCTCCCACCTCTTCTCCCAGGCCCGCAGGGGTGCAGGGACCTCCAGGAAGGTCCCCGTGCTGGCATGCCGGTGGTGGCCCCTCACCTGCGGCAGCCAGCCCCGCCGCCCTTGTGCCACGCCGCCGTGCCGGTTCCCTCTCCCCCTCTGAGCTGTCACATTCTGCCGCCGGCACTGGGTGCTTGTTCGGGACCCCACAAGGGTGAGGGGGGTCCCGGGAGCAGAGCTGGTGCGGCCCCCAGCCCCGGCACTTGCCCAGTGCTGCTGGTGGATGGGCAGCCAGCGCCAGCTCCCCCCGGTGCCATGCGTGAGGGTGCAAGGGGAGCACACGGCACCCTCTCTGCTCTGCTTTCCAGGCCTGCGGGGGTGGCAAGGAAGGGGCTGTTTGGGGTCCAACGCCCTCCCCCTGATAGCCACCTGCAGTCCCACACTTAATCCTACCTCCGAAAGCAAAACCGTTACAGGCCAGGCACGCTGCCTTTGCAAAGGCTGTGTAGACTGACTGCCACTCCGTGATGCACGCGGGAGGGACACCGCGCCGAGCCTCCTGCAACCCACCTAAAAGACTCAAGCTACCAGAGGATAGATCAGGAATTATAAAACAAATTCACTGGAAACACCAGAGCTATGAAACCACCTTGCTGCTCGGCTGCCTCCCCACCCTGAAAGGAGGAACAGAAGCACAGAAAACGGAGATGCTGAACTCACCTCGCATCAAGCCCTCTCCTCTGTCCAGTGCTTGGGCTGGGATGAGGCCGGTCTCAGCTTCTCGAGGTCAGCTGGGAAAAACTGCTGGGCATCGAGAGCTTTGCGACTCACCCCAATCTTTCCTTCCTATTTCTGCCTTATGCTGTCTGGGGCCCAAAGGAGGAAGTCAGAGCACTGGCTGTGGGAGGGCGTGTTCCCTTCCCGCAAACCCAAGGCCCTGCTCACACTGACCAAAGTCCTACAGGGCTGGGCTGATCTCCTCCCTGGGCTACCCCAGGGGGTCTGCAGCTCTCCCGCTACACCCAGGAAAGGGTCCCTACCCCAAACCCATCCTTTTTGCCCCACTTTTAACCTTTCACAGCACTGCCAGAGGCCAGCCCAGTCCCTCAGTGGGCAAATAAAGCTGGTAGCGGGGGAAACTGGCTCCTTTGAGAGCTATTAGCAGCTTCTGGGTGTGCAGAAGATGGTGAGCTGGCTCCTCTCAGACTCTGGGTTGGGCTCTGAAATCTTTGTGTCGGGGCTTGCTGCTGCGGTAGCGAGGCCTCCTCACTTGGCAGAGGATGCCAGCACCGTTCTCGCTGTGGCACAGGTCAGAGCTGTGTGGCTTTTTGTTAAGCAGCCTTCAAATCTTGTTGTGCAGGCTGTAGTAACTCCTCCCAATGCACCCAAAACAGTATTTCCCTGAGCAGAGAGGAACTGGCTCCTGGCAAGTATTTCTTAACCTTTTTAGGGCACTAAAGTAAAAAAAAAAAAAAAAAAAAAAAGTTTAGAAAACATACAGGATTGTAGATTTTTATAAAGATAATTAATGTGAAGCTTTTGTTAATCGCTTTGTAAGTTCCCCTTCCAGCAAGCTAACACTGAGTGACTGTGATGCATTTATAAGACACCAATGCAGTTCACCTCCTGCTGCCTTACGCTTGTGGAGCAGGGTTTATTTTTGCAACAAGCGAAGAGAATCGCAGCACTAGCAGCACGTTTCTGAGCCCTGGATGAATGCTCCAGAGGTGAGTGTTATTAAAGAAGACAACAGAGCTCTGGCCCGGTTCCATCGCAGCCAGACGCCGGGTGTAGCCAGGAAGCAGCGTAGCGGTGCTTGCTGCGGGGCGGGAGTGTTGGAGCAGCCTTCGCCTGGCTGGCGCAGAGTTCGGAGGGGATGGAGCCCCGGGGACCAGCCTGCTGGGAGCTGGGGTGGATGAAGCTGGGAAAGCTGGTGGGGCCTCCTGCCAGCGCCGCTGATTGCAGATCTGGGGGAAGGAAGTGTGCTCGAGTGAGATGAGCTGTCGTAATTTTTCCTTTTGTATTGCCCAAGGCCTTTATCAGGCTGCTCTTTTCAATTATTTCATTGGGTTCGTCAAATCACTCTGCTCCCACTGACAAAAGGTGGAGGGGTGGGGGTGGGAGAGCTAGGAGCCTCCTGACCTGGAGCAGCAGGAGCAGAGCAGGTATGCCATGACTCCTTGTAGCCCAAGGCTGAAGATCACTGCCTTACTCCCAGCTCCTCCCAAGCTGTTCCTCAGGTTCTCTTGCAGCTTTGGCCTTGGGCGGACATGCACAGCAAAGCACTATCCCTAACAATTCCCAAGGGACCCTTCACACATCCACCTGGCCCCTCCAGCATAGCAGTGTGGTAGCTCGTTAGTCCTGGCTATTTACTACACGTATTACCCAATGAGTAGTTACTCTTACGCTGTGTCTGTGCTTCCACAATCGCACATGGGACAAGATGTCCGAGCAGAAGCAAGCCAGGCAGCATTAGGACACTGGTGTCCAACCTCTCCTGCTCGCTACCCCCACAGCCAGCAAAACCCATGCTCCTTCCACGTCGGCTTCACCTGCTTGAGGTTTTAATCTTTGATACTGCCTGGTTTGGGAACAACCTTCATTTTGTACAGGATGTCTTTTTGTCTCTACATTTTATTTCTCCTTGTTGTTGTTTCAGCCTGCTGCAGGAGAAGGGGGTGGGCATCCTTTGGAGACACGTATGTGCTTAGTCGTAGCACCTTTGCTCCCCAAGCCAACTGTAAATATTTTAAGCTGTTAAACATACATTCTTCTATTTTCTTTTATCCATCTTTATTTTATTAGTTCCCCTTTTTATTTTTACTAGAGTAGATTCTGTTTCCCCCTGCCACCGACTCCGAGACCTTTGTGGTTTTTGCAGGATGCCCCTGAGCAGCTGGGGTGGGGAACAGGGCATCCAGATGTGCGTCCAGCTAGGCACTGAGCCGTTGCTCCCCGAAGTTGTTGATTTTGGTGATCAGAGATGTCATTTTGGTGCTTTGCTCCTGAATGACGCTCACCCAGCCTACAGCAGTGTAATGTAAGTTTTCCCGGTGTTATTTTCCAACCCTGACGAACATTAAATCTTCCCTGGTGTGTCCCGGCCACCACCATACTCCAGCTGAATGAGTGGCACAATGGGAGTGGGCGTACGGGGCGGCTGTGGGATCTCCATCCTGAGAGATATTTTTTTTGTTTTCAACCTTCTAGTATTTACATACGGGTACGCTTGGTCATGAGGAGGTGCCTGAACTGGATGTTTTTAAGAGCAAACCCACTGTGGTTCCCAAGTCTGGAGCCTTTTATTCCCTTGGGGGGGGGCGGGGGGAGAAGCGGCCTTGTGTTTCACACCTCCACGCGAGTGGCAAGGTGCAGCTCCAGCTGGGGCTGTTCTGCCAGGGCTCTCCCCCTGGGTCTGTGACCGCAGCGCCACGCCGGCTCAGGCGGTATTTTCTGCTGTCGCATAATAATATGTGTGATTTGTTATAATTGCGTAATAACGTATAAATAATTCCCGGCGGGGAGTTTCAGTATCCTGTCCTACCGTGGCATCCCGGTCTCTGGGTACAGCGCTCTCATGAGGCCTCAGCTCCCCCACGGGCTTACACCGGACTTCAACAGCGTCAAACCCCTGGGTTTAAGCCAAGCGCACCGACCAACCCCTTCCAGGAGCCACCTCCGGGCAGGCTCCCTGCCCCTGAAGGCGACTAACCCCCCGGGAAGGCGGCCGCCCGCCGCCGCTGGAGCCGCCACCATTACGCTCCCCGAGGGAACCGCCGGCGGGGCGGGCGGCCTGGCGCCGGGCTGGGAGCCGCTTCCCGGGCTCCTCCCGGGGCCGGGGGGGGAGCTACCGGGTCCCGCCGCGGCGCCGGGAGGCGGCGGGGCGGGAGAACCGCGGCGCGGCCCGGCCCGGCCCCTTCCGCTCCGCCCGCCATGGTGGGGAAGGCCAAGCGCCCGCGGCTCCACCGCGCCGCCCCTCGGGCCCGGCCCGCCGGGGACCCGCCGCCGCTCCCGGGCCCCGGCGGCTGGAGCGCGGCGGCCGGCAAGGTAGCGGGGGGGGCGGGCGGGGAGCGGCGCGGCGACACGCGGGGCGGGCGGGCGGGGGGACCGGGACCGCGACCTACCCCGCAGCCCCGCCGGGGCCTCGGCGCCGCCTCGGAGGCGGAACTGGGGAGCCTGGAGCTTCGGGCCGCCAGCCCACGGGCCTGTCGTCAGCCCCCCCCCCCCCCCCCCCCCGCGGCGTGTGGCGGCCGCCGTGGCCGTGGGCCCCCGCCGCAGCCCCCCGGCGCGGGGCCGGGAGCGGTGTGGGGGAGGTGGCGGCGAGGGACCTGCTGCGCCCCGGCGGGGCGAGAGGCGGCCCGGCGCGTTCCGCAGGCCTGGCGTCGCGTTTGGGGTCAGGGCAGGCGCGGGGCGGGGGGTGTGTGTGTGTGTGTGGGAGCTGTCGTTTCACACGCAGACATCGAGCGGGTCTGGGCCGTGGCTGGTGTATGAACGCGCGGTTTGGGTTCACGCTGGGTGCACTCCCCCCAAACCCCCTTGCAGCAAGGACGTGGAACAGCAGCCAGCTGCTTTTAGGGCACCCGCAGCCCTCCCCGTGAGGGGGGAGGAATAGCCTGGTCTGTAGACAGGGGGTTTTGCACCCCTGCAAAGTTACGCATCGGCGCTAGGAGATACTGCTGGCTAAAATAGATGCTAAGCCAACCAGAGAAGCAATTGCGAAGCTCAGGGCTTAGGGAGGTATTGGATGCTTGAAGGAACTAGATGTTGAAGATTTGGTAAGTTACTAGTGGTCACTGAATCGGCTTAATGTCCATTGATTTAGGATTTGGGCCCCTAATCTGCTCGTCTGTTGCTTATCTATATTGTTATGTACTTACATACCTGTAATAAATCTCGCTTTTCCTCAGGATGCTGGTCACAGTCTTCCTAGGAGTAATACCTGAATTCACTTGAGTGAGGCAGGGTTGAGTTCAGGTAGAAATCTGCTAGGACTATAACAGTCCAAAATGTGACTTTGTGAAACTTCAGTCTGTGTGGAAGAGCCCGGGGGGGGCCTGGCCAAGGGGGGTGGCTTACCTGGAGAGAAGCACCCACACACTACCACCTCAGTGTGCACCCTGCTCCTGTCTGGATGGGACTGGGTTTGATTGTTTTTTTTTTAATGAATGTTGCCTGGTGGTGTTTGTACTGACTCCTGCTTAATGTTTCTTTTTGATAAGGACTGGGACTTCTCATCTTCTGGTGTCTTTGCCGGGCTGAAGATTGACCCTGATACTCTAGTGAAGAAGCTTGACTTGGACTCCAGAAGCATCATTTCCTCCAGAACAGGTTTGTTGTTGTGTTTTGAATGAGTGCCATGAGTCACCAGCAAAGACACTGGGGACTGTATTTGCAGTGGCTGTCAGAACAAGCCCAGGAGCATGGAACCGAAACATAGCTTCCCGTGTTCCTTCAGGGCCTTTTCAAAGTGGTTTCTGTTTCAAAGTGGTGTCCTGGTGGGACCAGAGGGGCTGAGGGGACAGCAGAGCCCGGCTGCAGCCTGACCTCCAGGCTTCCTCTGCGGCTGGTGTTGCCTCACCAGCAGCTGCCCTTCATACTCCCCCCCTGTGTTTTGTCAGCAAGTTGCTTGTTGTGCTTCAACAGAGCTTTACCCACAGCAGCCGGACTGTAGCCAGTTCTCTCCTCCTGCCTTTTGCTGTTGATAGGTCCCTGGCTCAAGGACTGCTGGACAGGAGGGTCCTGCTCACCAGGGAGAATGGGGAGTGAGAGTGCTAACAGGGAGGAGATGATAGAGGTGTTTGTTTTCAAGTCCTGCAACAAGGAAATGCTCCCTTTAGCTGCTTGGTGGCAGCCAGATCTTTATATCTGAAACTGGGCTTCACCTCTCTGTATGGAAACTGATGGCACAGCAATCTGTCCTGGTGCAGAAGATATGTGTGGCTCCCAAACACCTTGTTTGCAAACTGAATTAATTTCTTCTGTCCACGCAGATTCATACTGCTGCAGTGACTTTTTCATGTCCAGGGCTATAAACCAACCCAGTAACCCCCCAAGGGCTACTGGTTACCTGAGCAGTGGTGAGCTGTAGCAGCCATAGCCCATCGGTCACATTTGGTCACAGTGAGGGAATGGGAGAGTTTTGTGAAGACACATTTGCTGGAGATGCTTGCCCTCTGCACAGAAACCTTTGTGAAATGTATTGTTTTCAAAATGCTGAGCTCATTGTTTGGAACTTTCCTGGGAAAAGGACGTGTGCATGTGTGTCTGCATGTGAACATGGCCATCTCTTTAATTAAATTAGGCAGTGTGTTGTTGAAGGCTGTCAGCCTGCAATCCTAGTCTTTCAAGGCAGGCTAAGGCTGTACATGTCTGGTTTATAAATAGACCTGTGCTGCTGGTCCCTGTGCAGTGCTGATAATGCAGATGTGCGGTGCCTGACTATGTTTAACCTTCTCTCGAGGCTGCATACTGGCTTCCTGCAGACAGTGATGCTCACCCCGGTGCTTTGTGCTCCCTTGCACTTTCCAGATGATCAGCTAAAAATAGCTGTTCATTTGGGGGCTCAAAACTGCAATTCAACAAAGCAAAAAGTGATTTTTTTTTTTTTTTTTCCAATCTTCCCAAGCTGCTGCGCCCTTTCTTCTTGTATCACTCTTGGAGCCATGTGGAGCCTTTTTCATTATGG